AGGCACATGGTTTGTGCTTTTATACCTAGGCACTGCCACGGCTTACACCGCCAGGGAGGCCACTGGGGCTGTGGACAACATCCCCCCACACGTTAACACACATCCCTGAAGTCCTAAACCTTAGTCCTACACTGCATGACCTTGTTTGTTAAGAGGGTCATTGCTGTTGTCCTAAGTGGAGATAAGGTCATAGTGGAAATAAAGAAGTTCCTAAATCCAACAGGAATGGTGTGATGAGAAGAGAGGCAGACATGTGGAGAAGGCTTTGTGATGGCAGGGACGAAGTGCCCACACTGCTGGCCTCCAGCAGCGGCTCAGAGGAGGCAGGGCAGGCTTTCAGCAGGGCAGGGCTGGAGAGAGGTCCAGCAGACACTTGACCTTGCGGCCTCCAAGACTGTGAGGCCACCCAGTTGTGATGCTTTGTAATGGCAGCCCTAGGAAGTGAACATAATGGCTGAATCCTTTGTGTCTTGAGAAAAAAAACCTCATGACAGGCCTGGGCCCTGCAGACCAGCATCAGTTGGACGCAGCTGGCTGTTGTTCCCAGCCTGGCCTGCCCTTTTTCCCTCAGCAGGTGTTGCCCTGCCTCACTCTGGCACAAGATGACCGATCTGTAAACAAAAATTCCCACAAGACTGTTTTTTTAAAACTCCTGATGGGGAAGAAACGTGACTTCTGGAGTGGTTCACTTGGCTGGAGGGAGACAGGGAGAGTTGTGCCTTTTGGCGGTCTCAGATCTGTGCCAGGTGTGGCTGGAGGCAGGCCGCTGCTAGACTTAGGAATTGGGCCACGTCTAACCATCTCCAGGGTGCCTGACCGGCTAAGCTGCCCCGGAACACACATTGCGGTAGGTGGGGCTACTCACCTGGGGAGGATGCACCCATGGGCACCTGTCATACCTGACAAGCTGCCAGGGAACAAGTGCTGCAAAGCTGCATGACTGAGCTTTCTTTTGCTTCGGGACCTGCCAAGTTTGGTGGAGTGTAAGATCTAGGATCTACTCGCACAGGCTACCACTGGAGCCCTTCTGCCAGAGCTTGAGAAACGCCCACAGCTCTTCCCAAGTGGGCTGATGCAATGGAGTTACAGTGACCAACAGGCCCAAGGTTCAAACACTGCAGTGACCCTCTTTCCATGTGGATGCAGTTGAGGGACCAGCATTCATTGGGTGCCAAGCCCCAGCTATTACGCATGCTCAGAGAACGAGCCAGCAGGAGCAGTGTTGGCTGGTGCTTTCGGGCACACTGCTCTGTGCTCTTCTGCATCCTGCCCTCCAGGTCCTGGTAAACCACAGCCCTCAGCTACCTAAATCCCTCCTGATTGGAGTAGAAAATCAGTGTATGCACAGGTGATAAATGTTCCAGGGGCCACTTCCGTGGTATTTATCTGAGTGCATGTTATTTCGTATGCAGATAAATATTAGTTGCTTCTTCATCTTGAAGTCTCAGTGGCATCTGATGCTCAGGACCAAATTCTACCTTAAGTTTTTTTTTTAATTTTAAAGATTTATTTATTTTTATTGGAAAGTCAGATATACAGAGGAGGAGAGACAGAGAGGAAGATCTTCTGTCTGATGATTCACCCCCCAAGTGAGCGCAACGGCCAGTGCTGTGCCGATCCAAAGCCAGGATCCAGGAACTTCTTCTTCTCCCACGCGGGTGCAGGGTCCCAAGGCTTTGGGCCATCCTCAACTGCCTTCCCAGGCCACAGACAGGGAGCTGGATGGGAAGTGGAGCTGCCGGGATTAGAACCGGCGCCTATATGGGATCCCGGGGCATTCAAGGCGAGGAGTTTAGCCGCTAGGCCACGCCGCCGAGCCCAACCTTCTTAAGTTTTTCCCTTGGCTTTTAGGACATCGCCCTTCTGGTTTTTTTTCTGCCTCAGCAGCTGCTTCTCTGCAGGTCCTCATGGTCCCGCCCTCTGCCTCCCACCCCAGGTCTCTTTGCCAGGAGCCAGTCCCTTAGCCAGCCACCCAACAGCTCTTACCAAAGGAGCATCTGCCTTGCCTAGATTATCAAGTTGCTGTGCCTGTAGAGTCTGGAGTGACACCTGGCACACAGCAGGTGCTTGGCATTGACTCGCTGGCCTAATGATTAGAATGTAGACCGAGGTGCACTATGAAGCCTGAGCTATCGTAAGATGCACAGTGTAAGGGGTAGCAGGGCCCCAAGTGGGGATGTTGTTGGAGCCAGCTCTTGACAAACAGGAGGATGAACAAAACGAGGTAGTTGGAGTGTAAGCTCTAGGATCCTAGGCCCAGCAGTGGCCTAGCGGCTAAAGTCCTTGCCTTGAATGCCCCGGGATCCCATATGGATGCCGGTTCTAATCCCGGCAGCTCCACTTCCCATCCAGCTCCCTGCCTGTGGTCTGGGAAATCAGTGGAGGACGGCCCAGAGAATTGGGACCCTGCACCCATGTGGCAGACCCGGAAGAAGTTCCTGGCTTTGGATTGGCATAGCATCGGCTATTGTGCTCACTTGGGGAATGAATCCTCGGACAGAGGATCTTCCTGTCTCTCCTCCTCTCTGTATATCAGACTTTCCAATAAATAAATAAATAAATAAATCTTAAAAAAAAAGATCTAGGATCCTCCTTAGCCTCTACACTCCACTTACCTTGGCCTTATCAGTTTCTTCAAACCCTTCAGGGGTGCTAGTCAGGGCACCTGTGACCCACACTGAAGTCCCTAGCATGGGTCCCCGTCTCTGGCCCCTGACCTCAACCTCCTAAGGCCGACCCTGCAGGGTAGTGGGGATGGCACCAGCAGTTGGGTTTCTGCTATTCATGGAGGAGACAGGGTGGAGTGCCTGACTTGGGAGTTCAACCCTTGGTCACTGTAGCAATTTGGGGAGTGAACCAATAATTGGGGGCTTGTTCTCATAATTTTTAAAAACAAAACCACAATGAACCTGAATCAGTGTCTCACAGCCAAGAGAAGGCCAAATCTATTACCATGGCTTGGCTAGAACTTCGGCGGTTGCCTTGGTTTCCTGTTGCCAGTCTGGACCCTGTACTTGAGCCAAGTTGAGGTACTGTTCCTGACCACCCTCCCATGCTCTTCCCCTGCCCTCATGGGATTTTATGGTGACCTAACACATCCCAGCACTCACCCGCTGTGGGCCTCAATGTGTGGAGTTTTTGGATTTTTGGACAGAAAAGGCAGGCAAGCCCAGTGTGCGAGTGCTTTCCCAGTCTGTGTTGTGCGTGTTGGCACCCCACTGACAAAGACGACACTACTGAATCTGGACTGCGGCGTGGGGTGGGGGGAGGGGGCTGAAGTCTACCTCTTGAGGCATAGAAGCGGTGCCGTGATGCACAGGGGCCAGCACACCCAGGATGGCAGCGTGTTCCTGCGGCTTTTGTTTACCAGCAGTAGAAAGTACAGTTTTCTACTTGCCAAAGTTCCTGTTCTTTTCTGGCCTCAATCCAGAAATTCCATCACCTGGGAGGATTTCACTAATCTCCAAAGCCTCTCTGGTAGCACTGCACTGATGACTCTAAGTGCATGGATGGGTCTGTAGCAGCAAGGCTGAGCCTCCACTTCACCCAGCAGAGCAGACAGGACTGTCGTTCTGAGATTGGGAGAAGTCACTTTTGCCTGTCTGAAGGGAAGGTCAGGAAGAAGAGAATGTTTTGGTTTCCATTTTTATCTTCATTGCCTATTATAAACCTGATACAATGTGGCATTTAAAAATACCTGTGAAATCAACAAGCACATAATAACAAAACACAGAGGACACAAAGAATGCTTTTGGCTCTAATCTGATCATTACACACCGTATAGACATGAGATCACACATTGTACTCCATAAATATGTAAAATTGCTATGTAACAGTCAAAAGTAAAACACAAAGGGATGCTTTTAAGACTATTTTGTGAGACTCAGGTCAGAAGGGTGTAAATACTTAGGAAGATCTGAGTCCAAAAGTGAAATGATACTGAAATGTCACTTAAAGAAAAATAAGAGAATTAGCCGTGGACAGTATCTCCTTTTTTATTAGAGATTAACAATGTGTTTTTGAAGTCCAAACTCAACGTTACAGCATTTCTGTGTTGTCACCATGCTTTTGGCAAAACAAACTTTGTCCTTGGAAGAAACTGCTTCTTGCTGGTCCAGTGCTCAGGCCGGTGTATGTCCAGTTTCCCAGTTCCAGTGAGAGCTGGGAGGTGAGCCCCACCAGGGCCTGCCCCACCAACAGGAAAGAACCTCAACATGGTGACCACAAAGTTTATTCTGGGGCAAAAATATATTTGAAATCCTGCAGGATTTTTTTCTAATTTGTACTGCCCAGAAATTATAAATCCCTTACATGCATGGATTAATTTTTTCCATCAAAAGCAAATGTATTTATTCCATAATCCATGAACTTTTTTTTTTTTTTTTTTTTTTTAAAAGATTTATTTTTATTATTTTTTCATTGGAAAGGCGGATATACAGAGAGGAGAGACAGAGAGGAAGATCTTCCGTCCGATGATTCACTCCCCAAGTGAGCGCAACGGGCCGATACTATGCCGATCCGAAGCCAGGAGCCTCTTCCGGGTCTCCCACACGGGTGCAGGTTCCCAAAGCTTTGGGCCGTCCTCGACTGCTTTCCCAGGCCACAAGCAGGGAGCTGGAAGGGAAGCGGGGCTGCCGGGATTAGAACCGGCGCCCATATGGGATCCCGGGGGTGCAAGGCGAGGACCTTTAACCACTTGCGCCACCGCGCCGGGCCCAATCCATGAACTTTTAAAAGAACCCTCCCACAAACTTTATGTATTTTTATTGTTTATAAAAATATAAGTTTACACCACTCTGTTTTTTAAAGTTACACAGGCAGAAATGTATGCTTCAGTATAACTACTTTTTACATTGGATTATAGTGGGAATTTTTGACCTAAAAATAATTTAAGATTACAAAACAGAGACCTCACAGCAACACAGATGAAGACACATCCTGATCCTCACATAATGAGAAGTAGGTGCAATTACCCTCGCTGTGTGCTGTACATTCCCATACACAGATAATCTTAACTACAATGCAAACACGGCATTAAAGCAATCTCCTACTCATGACATTAGCTCATGAAGGACATGATGCTAACTGCATGACAGGCTCTATGGACCCAGGCTGGATGTTTCGCATGTGTTCAGGTCTGCTTCACTTAATATATGGCCAGCAGCATGAAGAGAAAGTGCACAGTAAGTTGAGGAAGGGCCACCACAAGGGGAAAAAGTTCTTACAGGATACATATAAACTAACTAGTGGTGAAATCTGTAAGGATACACTTAGATTATAGCTGATGCAAAAACGAAATCTAGAGTTTCTTCTAGAATATTTAAGATGTTCATAATAAAGATGTCCACCAGGTAACTGCATAAACCAAATGTCCTGTACTATTTTCAAAACAGATTCTGAAACTAGAATTTACTATGAAAATATCCAGAGATTTCAGTTGCCAGAGACTGTACTTTGCATACCTGATACTAACACATAAAACCACTGAAGTGTTTAGGTGGACTCTGAATGCAGGCAACAGCTGAGAGGAAGGTGGGGGAGAATGATGCGAATGTGATCCCCCAAGTGCAGGTGGAGTGCCTCTGATGGGCCTGGGGGACGGGGACTCCCCCATGTGCAATGACCAGCTCTGTGGGACAGAAAACTAGTAGCCCCGGCCCAAGCTTGCCACGGTGACTCCTGACCACCCACAGGATAGCACCCCACCCCAGGATTCACAGGTTATCTTTCCTGCAGAGGAAGCAATGGCATCCCATGGGAAGGACTAGAAGAAGGAGGTATCAGATGAAAAGGCACCTGCAAGTCTAAAGTCCTCCTTGGTGAGAACGCTATACATCCTCTGTGGTAGAGCTTTGGAGTATGGGGCAGGCCGGGGCACGGTGACACGCAGAATCAGCTCCCGACCAGCAGGTGGGGGGAAGTCGGACACAGCGTTCAGCCGCCTTTCTTCTGGGGTGCCCATCCTTTTGAATTCTTCTTCTGGGGGCGCCATGGTTGAAGCCTTCAATAGAATCATATGCAAGAAGAGAATTCAAAGTGGGTCAAATGCTAAGTTAGACACTTGGCAGGCCAGATGAATATACAAGTGATAAAAACATTAAAACTCCCTACTTTACTCAGTAATGCAGTCAGCTGTGTGTTAAGGTTACTAAAAACAAAGCAAGCAAAAAACCCACAACACAACATAGAAAATGTGAGAAGCTTCAGTTACTGCATGAGCAGGCAGAGATGGGAGGGATATTGAATGCCCGGCAATCTGACGGGTAAGGGCTGTGTTTAGACATTTGATGCAAAGAGATCATGGAAGGAACTTGTCTTGCTTTCTCTTATTCTAGCAATGACCTTGTGTAAGTCTGACACCTGCAGCCCAGGAAAGAACTGTTTCTCCCCAGAGTCTGGAAAGATGATTTCTATCTTGACTTTTATCAATTCCTTTTAAGATGCACTTGCTGAATTACAGCTGGGGCGCTGTCTTTGTGTGCTAGGCAGCAGCTAATGTAATGCAGAAGGGAGAGAGGCCCAAAGAGCCACAGCCTCAGAGAGAGAAATCTTGATAAAATAACCAATTATTTTTTCATTATACTAAAAACACATTCAAATAGGGCTGTCATTTCTAACTCTGATTACTATATTTCTTCCTTGATACCATCTAAGTAAAGAGAAATTGCACAATGGAAACCTGAAATCATGGTAAGCACATAAACAGCCAGAAAAGTGTGAAATCTGTTAAAGGAAGTGGTTAGCTTTAATGACCTAATGATGTTAAGAGGGGATGGGAGAGAACAAGGAACTATGAGGGATAAAGGCGATTTTGTTACCTCGTCAGAAGATTCAGTCAGCTTGAGAAAAGGTGAGAAAAGAAACAGTGATGAAAGGGAAAACAGGCTGGATGGTTTTAAAGAGCTGACGAGATTTCAAGATCATTCCCAAGACCGCATGCACTACAGCAAGGAACGTGAGTGGTTCTACTGAGAGTTCAGAATGGACAAAGTCACACCGGGCAGACATCTCCTATGCCTCGTGTATCTGAGGGTCAAACAGGTGCCATGCAGAATTGTTTGAGAAAACGCATTAACAAGATGCTAAAAATGCTCATGGCTTGATATAGATTCATCCAATGAATTTAATAGGTATCAGCCTGGGGTGGGTGGGAGACTGGGTGGGGCTTTCCCCTTAAAATCCCCCTTTACCTCAGATACATGAAGGAAACAATGTGGAAATAATAGTGTTACCCACTTTCCTGTAGCCCTTGAACCTTTTTACCCTAATTAACTATGTAAAGATTGTCAAACATAGGTATCTGAATTACTCAACTGAGCAAGACGAACAGTTGAGCTGTTCTTTGCTGAATTCCATTTAAATGCATCTATATTACAAACATTTATAATCATTATCAAGTTCATTCATTATAATTTTAAGGATCTAAATATAATTTCTAGTTGCTGTAAAATCAGCGTTTTTGAAAGACATAAGCTTCAAAAATTGTGATTTTCAGTAAAATTGATATAGTGTCAGTTATGGAAAACTACATGGGCAAATTTAGTAAGACATTTAAGAACCAAGTTTTAAAAAATGTATTAATCAGATGCCTGTTCTATGCAATGCAACCTATCAGGTTCCTTAAAAGCATTCACAGCCAAGTCTGAACATTGAAATCATTTTAAAATTATGTAACAGGAAATGGATGTACAATTTCAGTATCCATTAAAGGTCATTAGTTACATAATGACATCATAAAGATGATACTCCTATATTGGTAATTTATGTAGTTAATAAATATTAAATAAACAGTAATACATGGTTATTCTAGATGTCATGTTGATCATGACTTTCAATGGATAGTGAAATTATGTAAATTTTAAAAAATAATTTGTTTCCAAATAAAATTTTTTAGAATTTGACTTGCAGAGATGGAGTTTCCATCATTAGGTTTTTTTCCTCCCTGCTCACCAGGCCAGTGCTAGGCCAGGCCAAAGCTGGTAGCAGCAATGCTGGGTCTCCCACCAGGTGACAGGGCCCACTCACTTTTAGTCATCACTCGCCCCAGGGGGGAATGAAGCTGGAGTCGGGAACCACAGGTGGGACTGGAAGGCAAGCCTGCTGCCGTGGAAGCAGGGACTCTATCTGCTCCTGTTAACATTTTTATAAGCCTATACTCAGGAGTCAGGGAAGCTACACTATTTTAATTTTGGGGGAAATTTGCTTACCAGGATATCCAAAATGAGTAACACTCTAAAGCATTAAAAGCTTAAGATATCTGAACTCTTCCTAGAATACTTTTCAGAACTGACCAAGGAGGAAAGTTCATACACGAAATACACTTGTAAGCTCTGTGACAGTGAGCTGGCAAACACATTAACACGCATGAAAACAAGCTTGGTTCTCGGCTTGATGCCAAGGACAAAAACAAAATAAACACCAATATTTTTCTAGAAGCCTAGTTTGTGAGGAAATATTTTCTGGCTCTTAACATGAAATTCTTAAATTAGGGAGCTACCACATAAATCTGTTTTTAGCTCTGGCTAAAAATTCAGATCAGTTTCTGTGGCTATGATTGACTGTATCAACTTGATGCACTCCAGACCAACGCAATGGGGATTGTGAAATATTTACACCATGTGTAAAGCCACAAAAATTGTTTTTCTTTGTTGATTTTGAGGATTATATACTCAAAACTGGGTCAGTCTGGTGCCATGCAGAGTGCCAGGTGAGGGGGCCTCTGTATTGTAATATTCTACCAGAATCTCTTACATGAATGGACTCTGGCATGAGAAGGAAGTGTGGGATGCCAACCCCTCACGGCTTGTTAACAAGGTTTTACAGAACTTAAGCCCCTTTCATTTCCGCCAGTGGAGGCAGTGCTGAAGCTCATTCTCCCCAGTGGGCTGCTTTCTGTACTGAAGCTCAAATTACCACAGTCCTAAAAATCTGAAATTTTCCTTTTCTGTCCATTACAAAACAAATACAAGTTCTAATTTATGCTGAGTTTCGGATCTGTCTTGATGTACACATTGGAAAAATTGAAGGACTTGAACTCTAACTTGAAATGGGTAAGCATTTTCCCGCAGCACAGTCATTTCAGACCCTTCAGAAGGGCATACTTATCATATTACTCAAACATGTAGAAAAGTCAGTGATTTTCAAAGACTAAGTAAGTTACTGTTTCTTCAAGGTTCCAGTTTAGTGCCCAGACTTACACTTGGCAGCTGTATGACCGGCTCACGTACCCTCTGTGCATTCACAAACAGCCTGTGAATGATCCTGCCAGCATGTCCTCTTCCGGCTCCGGAGACTAACACTTCCGGCTGCTCCAGCAGGCAGCTCACGAACCTGCGAGGGAGGCAACGGGAGGAGCAAGTTGTCACGACCATAAGCGTGCACAGTCCCTGCTCCGCTTCACAGGCATATGTGCAAACTGATCCTAGCAAATACCTACTAAAACTGGACAGATTTTTATAACTGATTAATGGTTTGGTATGGAAATAGACTTAACTGTCAATCATTGCTTTTTCAATTATTGTCATGAATTTTTTTTTGAAGATCATCTCTGTTACCATGTGAGGGGAAACAGTATTTTTTCTGCAGACTACAAGCTCAGAAAATACTTCAGTAAATAAAAGTCCAAAACTAAACAAACACAAAAATCAGACAACAGAAATCAGGTTTTATTTATTCGACAAGGGCTGATTTCCTTACGGGGTGTGTATATTGTTTTTGTTGGGCAACGCTGCAATTTTCACTTGCTCCGTTATGTGCTGGGAACACTTTATTTGCAAGCACATCTCGGATGAAGTGGATGGTGGAATCTCCAGTGAAGGCCCAGTGCTGCCAGCCTGCACCAGCTGCTCTCCAATTCATAGGACTATTTTAGAAACAATTCCCTTGATTAGAGCAAGTTTTTCTCATTTAAAAGGAGGAATTTTCCAGATAAAAACAGGCTGGGAGAAATTTTTACTCAACAAAAGATACATTCAAACAAGAACTTGCAAAAAAGCTGTAGCAAATGTCTTGTCATGTAACATTTACCATCAATAATATTATTTTTCATGGAAGGGTGATAACAGGAAATTTAAACAACTGAACAAGTTAATTTTGAAACACTGTTTACAACAACACTGTCCTTTCAAACAAAATGAACAAAAAAAGACAGATTCTTTTAGAAGAGGCTCACAGAGTCAAGACTACTCCAATCCTTTGCCACATCTGGGAGAAGCCACTTGGCCACCCCTCCAAAACCTCTCTAACATACACAAGGTAGACACAGAAGAGATCTTGCTTAAATAAAACAGGACCAGTGCACAGATTCTTGCTTTCAGCATATCCCGTGCTGGTCCAGAAGGAACCAGAGCTGAAGTCTGTTGGCCACTTGGGGTACTACATGTCCAAGAGCTGATTAGGGAGTCCCCAGAAAGAGGCTCCGGCATAGAGTTTCTCAAAGTGAAAGGAAAGAAAACATCTAGGAGAGACTCGGGAAATGAGAGGTTGAATCTTACAGCAATTAAATATTGTTCTGTCTCTACTAAATTATTGATTCAAAAAATACTTGTGGGATTTCTACAATTTTTCTACAAAAACTGGGTAGCGTGTTCCACCACAGGCAAAACTGGGTTACCAAAATAGTAAATAACAATTACCTTTCAAGATCTTCCTTTTCTTCCTCCTGTTCACATTTCTCAGTTCCAAACTTGGCTTTCAATGACCGGGCTCTAGCGATTATAGCTTCCACATTAGTAATCTGATGAATGATTTCCTAACAGTGGGGTAGAGAGAGACATATATAGAAAGACAGCAAAACATACCTTTAAAATAATTACTGTGAGACTATAAAAGTAATTTGGTGAGACTGTGACATAACAAACTTACTTCTAATTTCTTGTCTTCTGGATTAGGGAAGTGCAAAACTTTACTGGAATGGGATATTATCTGCTTTATAATCTTCTTCACTGAAGAAATGTTTTCCAAACTTTCTGTTGTTAAAAAAGATCAGTTACCTTTCAATGCCTTAAGTTATATATGCTTTCATTTTGGAAATGAACTAGTGACTCATCAAATAAGACATTTACCTTCTTCCTTTACCTTGAGTACAGCTGCATGAATCACACAGGGTAACAGGTGCCGGGCCAGGTCAGCAGGTTTCTGGATTGCCAGGTAATGCAGCACCTAAAGGAGGCATATCGCACAGCAATTCAGATGTGGGAGAAGGAAGCTGCCACTGACAGAAGCAAAACTCCCCAAGCACCAACTCACATTTCCAATAAGAAAGTGCAGGACAGCACTACCCCTCCTCATCCCAGTTGGCACCTGCTGCTTCTACCGGTGAGAATGTCATTGCTGAGAGTATGTCACAACATCAGTCACAAATAATGAGGAGGCACCTCCTGGTATTTTTCTTGCCTCCATGTGTAATACATGCTGGTTATTTTCTTTTTACTTTCCTATCTGAATTATGCTACCTGATGGTAACAATTGTTGCTAGTGCAGCATTTGCATTCCAGAATTTTTATAGGCATCCAAGATACATTATGTAGCAGGCACTGATGTTAAGTATGTAAAATGCTATTTTGTAACCCCTTCTCGATATTTGTAAATATTGTTAGTTACTGTCTCCAATTTTTTTGTTTTGTTTTGGCTTACTGCCTTTCTCTCAATTTGCAAAACTCATTATTACATGTCTTACAAAAACACAAATTTGTGTATCAGAACTGATTAAGCAGTAAAATTTCACACTGTGAGCCTGACAAATGCTCATGGATTTCAAAGAGAATATTCTTCAGGAATTCTCTGAACTTCTACCTCCCAAGGAACAATGCATTTTAAAGTTTATCATCTCAGATATGTTTCTCTGTCAACTGAAACAAAATTAAATGGAATGTATTTTAACAAAACCAACAATTCACATACTGTTTTATAACTTTGTCATTTAGTGATGTGAGGTGGGTCTTTTTCAATTTGATATAAAATTTCTTTAAAATCAAGTACACGTATCCTCCTCAAAGAACTATGAATCATTCCTAAACAATGCACAGTCCAGTTTTCCATGCTTTTAAGTTGCTGCTTATATCCCTCGGTGACTTGCTGCTTTTGACAGCACTGTTTTGGAAATCCTTACATGTAGATACATTCTATAATGCATTATTTTCACTGCTGTATTGAATAAAATGTTTCACACTAATAGTGGGCATTCCCAATTTTTGACTAAAATTATACCCGCAGGTTTCCAGGTATATAGTAAATGTCTTTAGATACATACTTCAAGAAACTAAAATATGTAGAAGATATGGCCAATTTACTGAGTGTTTCAGCAGATTTATCCTTTAACTAGAGCAGTGAGAGTTCTCACTGTTGCTAAAATTTGAAATACAAAATATTTGATTCATTTACTTTTTTAAAAGAATTTTCCCACAATGTCTAACACTACATTAGGGTTTGATATCAACAAGTGGCAAATTTTAAAAAGAAAAAAAAAATGAACAATAAAAAACAAGCTACCAAGATTAAGCTAGTGTTTCACAGCAGCATAAAGGAAGGCTATACACAGTAACCAATTCCAGAGTGTCACTCTGGTACTGACAGATCACATTTTATGTATTCTGCATCTCAATTATTACAGATGAAGGAAACATATTAGTCTTCAAGAGACTTGCTTATTTCACTACGCAAAATGGCTTCCAAATGGATCCATGAAGTTGCTAAAGGCAAGTCTTCATTTATTTCCATGGGATCTTCCCAAGACTTCTTTGCCTTTAACTATGTCTTGCAGAATGTGCTCAATATTGTCCTCTAGAAATCTGATATTATGTCATCACTCTAGATACCTGATGCATTTAAAGGTGATTTTTGCAAAAGGTGTAAGGTAGGAATCTTATTTTTCCCAGCACCATTTGTGGAAGAGACTATCTATATAATTTTTTATTAAAAAAAATAAAAGCGGCTTAGTTCCTTGTGACTAGATTTTGGTTCTACATTCCTGGGCAAACAACATGTATAAGGGTACCTCAAAAACTTCATGTGGGGGCGGACACGGTGGTACAGCATACTAATCAGCCTATAGTGCCAGCATCACATACGGCTTGTGTTCCAGCTGCTGCACTTATGATCCAGCTTCCTGCTTATGGTCTAGGAAAGCACTTAAGGATGGTCCCACGTCTTTGGGCCCCTTGAACCCATGGGAGAGACCTGGAAGAAGCCCTAGCCTGGCGTCAGAACAGCTAGCTCCAGCCACTGTAGCTGTTTGGGGAGTAAACCTGCGAATGGGAGATATCTTTAATCTGCCTTTCAAATAAAATCTTAAATTAAAAAGTTCATGAAAAAACTGAGTGAGAAGATAACTTATTTTGGTGTAGAAAAGTTTTGTTTGAACATTATTTTAGTAGGACATGGGATAAGTTCTGATACACTACTGTTCTAGGAAATCATCCGATTCAACTGGGTTTTCAAATTTATACGAACGGATTTGAACTAGAGTTTTAATTTTAGTTCTATATGTACATTTTTTCTTGATTAATTAGCTAATGGCTTATTTAAATTGTAATCCTTTGGTCCTTTTTTTTTCCTTTACAGATTTATTTTTATTGGAAAAGCAGATTTACAGAAAGAGAAAGGAAGATTTTCCATCTGCTGGGTTACCACCAAAATGGCTGCAATAACCAGAGCTGAGCCAATCTGAAGCCAAGAATCAGGAATTTGTTCTGGTTCTCCTACATGGGTACAGGGTCCCAAAGCTTTGGACCATCCACGACTGCTTTCTCTGGTCATAAGCAGGGAGTTGGATGGGAAGCAGAGCTGCCAGGACATGAACCAGCATCCATATGGCATCTTGGTGCATGCAAGGTAAGGACTTGATCCGTTAGGCTACTGCACTGGGCCCTAATTTCTAGTTCTGATGCAGAGACCAATCTGATATTTCTACTGTGAGACATATCTAGAGCATCATAGTGTAGTGAGTTAAGGCACCACGTGTGGGCCCAGCGGCGTGGCCTAGTGGCTAAAGCCCTCGCCTTGAAAGCACCAGCACCCCATGTGGGCACCGGTTCTAATCCTGGCAGCTCCACTTCCCATCCAGCTCCCTGCTTGTGGCCTGGGAAAGCAGTTGAGGATGGCCCAAAGCCTTGGGACCCTGCACCCGCACGGAAAACCTGGAAGAAGTTACTAGATCCTGGCTTTGGATCAGCATAGCACCGGCTGTTGCAGCCACTTGGGGAGTGGATCATCATTGGAAGATGTTTCTCTCTGTCTCTCCTCCTGTCTATCTGAATTTCTAATAAAAATAAAACAAATCTTTAAAAAAAAAACACCACTTGTGATGCCAGCAGCCCATACCAGGATGTCTAATCTGTGTCCAGCTTCCTGGTCTAGGAAGGTAGCAGGGGCTGGCCTAAGTCGTCAGACCCCTCTCGCCCACATGGCTGAGCAGGACGCAGCTCTTGGCTTGACCTGTCCCACCCATGGCTGCTATGGTCATGTGAGGAATGAGCCAGAGATAAAGCATTTCTTACAAAGACCCTATCCCCGTCACTCTGCCTTTTTCAAACAAATATGTGAGTCTTCTAAGCTTAACACAATAAAAACAACAAATGTGATATTTCCTTTGTGCCCTAATATCAGTTTTTCTGAATACACCTGAAAAGACTTAAAGAACCATTTCCTGTTACCAAGTTGTGGTATTTGGTATACGTCAGGAAGACCGACCTGTTCTCAGTTGTGTCCTCTCTACCTGACTGTACCTGACTCTACCTCTACTGGCATGCGCAAAGTCCTCTTTCATTGAAGTGGGCCAAGGATTTCAATAGACAGTTCTCAAAAAGAGAAAGACAAGAGGTCAACAAATATATGGAAAAAAAATGCTTAACATCCTTAGCCATTAGGGAAACACAAAACCATTCTGTCAACCCCAACACCTCTGTCAGAACGGCTATCATCTAAAAGAGCAACAAATGCTGGCCACATGTGGAGGAGGGGAGACTCTTACATACTGTTGGACGGATGCATGTTAGTGCGGCTACTGTGGGAAACAGTACGACGTCTCTCAAGCTAGGACAGAGCTGCCGTATGATCCAGCAATCCCACTACCGGGTACAGACCCAGAAAACACGCCTATCTTCTACTGAAGAAATGCACTGTTCACAATAGCCAAAATAAGGAATCAGCGTAGGTGTCTATAGCAGATGAATGAAGAAAAAAATGGAATATCATTCAGGTGTAAAAAAAGAATAAAATTTGACTAGTTACATCAAAATGAATACAACTGAAAGACATCACATTAAAATAACCTGTAAACAGAGAGAAGTAAGTACTGCATGACTTCCCTTGTATGTAGGAGCTAAAATTTAAAAAGAAATGCCTGTATAGTACTGCAAATATTGTTTTGCTAGTTTGTTTTATATTTTCTCAAATCAATGGTTACAAATGTTTACACTCTACCATCATTTTAATCCAATTATTTAAAAATTCACTTTATGACAATCTTTTTGTTTGATATTTATATTTTATATTTGTTATATTATTTATATTTATAGCCCTTGCCAATATTTCTGAATTAGGGTATTTTTACTTATTCAAGTCTTTATTATATGGAGCATTAAGCCTTTGACTGCAATCTAAATGTAAATTAAGAATGTTATCTCACAAACCAAAAACTCAGGAAAAGAGGGAAGTACTGTATTCTTTTTCATTTTTAAAGATTTGTTTATTTTTTTATTGGGAATACAGATTTACAGAGAGAGAGAGAGAGTGATCCTCCATCTGCTGGGTCACTCCCCAAGTGGCCTCAATGGCTGGAGCTGAGCCAGGAGCCAGGAGCTTTTTACGGGTTCACCACATGGGTATAGGGTTCCAAGGCCTTGGGCCTTCCTCAACTGCTTTCCCAGGCCGCAAGCCGGGAGCTAGAAGGGAGGTGGAGGAGCCAGGATACAAACCAGTGCCAATATGGGATCCAGGTGCATTCCACACAAGCACTTTAGCAGCTAGGCTATCACGCTGGATCCGGAAGTATTGTATTGTTAAAATTGTTTCTATGAACCATATTCAACCTGTTCTTTGTATTAACTCATATTAATACAAGAATTGTGTTGTAGTCGTAACTTGCTATGACCTTGAGAATCTAAACTATTAATAAATTCCTCTTAAAAAATTGTAAGACTCTATTTAAGAAGAAATCTCAGAGAAACCTAAAGTAATGGGAGATGAAAAACAAGGGCAGTCTAAGAAAGTCGAGTGTGAATACCCAGTTATGACTGAGCAGTGGGGGAAGGTAAGAAGGGAATATTCTCAATTCCAAGTGAATATGACTTAGTCTTTCAGCAAATCTATGACCCTGCTCTGTAAAAGATATGTGTAGTAAAATTTATAAGGGATGCAATATTTACTCATGCTATAAATATTAACAGTCCAGAATTTCACTTAAACCCTGTAAGAACTTGTTTTAGTAAATTTTAAGTTTGTGCTCAATTCTAGTTTCCCTAGAGCACCAGGTAATTACTGTGTTATCTAGGAAATTAACATTAACAATTGATAAGATTCTTGCTTGTTTTAATTCTTTTGACAGAAGGCTCGTAACCCTTGCTTTCTTTTTCTCATTTCCCTGTGAAATCTTTTCCATCCTGTCATTTTGTAGCCTTTCTGAACCTTAGAATCTCTTCATTTACTGCAGTTTTATAAGGTTGTGTTAAATTGTGATTATTCTTTGTAATGTGGTATTTATAAGGTGTATTTCATTTCAAAAACATTTTTTATATTTAGGTGTGGTATTTTACTCCCTTATATCTTTAACTGTCTTACAATCTAGTAATTTTAGATAGTGTTCTCTGATCACAATATAGTATCTATGTAAGAGTCAATGATCAATTCTATTTCCTCCCCTTTTATGTTCCAATTTTGTTGTTGCATTGTTTTCTACTTTGCCAAATTTTGTAATTTTTACATCTTCTTCTACTCATGCCCTCAATTGGTTTGTGCTTAATTCTAAACTTCAGGGCCCGGCGGCATGGCCTAGCGGCTGAAGTCCTCGCCTTGAACACCCTAGGATCCCATATGGGCGCCAGTTCTAATCCCGGCAGCTCCACTTCCCATCCAGCTCCCTGCTTGTGGCCCGGGAAAGCAGTTGAGGATGGCCCAAAGCCTTGGGACCCTGTACCTGCGTGGGAGACCCGGAAGAAGTTCCTGGCTCCTGGCTTCGGATCGGCATAGCATCAGCCATTGCGCTCACTTGGGGAGTGAATCATCGGACGGAAGATCTTCCTCTCTGTCTCTCCCCCTGTCTGTATATCTGACCTTGTAATAAGAATAAATAAATCTTGAAAAAAAAAATTCTAAACTTCAGCGAAATGTGTACCACCAGTCCTTTGCCACAGTTTACCCAGCATCTCTTAGCTGGAATCAATTCTTCCTCCTACACTATATTATGTTAACAAGGGTGCCACTAGCCACAGCCACTTAAAACTGCATTTCTTGTGTTATACCAGCCACATGTGGCCAGTATTTGGACAGCATCTGTAGCAATACAGGAAGTTCTGGACAGTGGAGCACTAGTTGATTCCTAAGGAAGGACACAAATGAACATTCCTGTTATGTGTAACTTAGGGGGCAACAAATTTGTCTTTTATATACTCAGGAAACAAAGCAGACAGGGAGAGGGTGGCAAGAAAGAGATCTTCCATCCACTACTTCATTTTCATAGTCACTGGTTGGGCTACACAGAACCCTGCAGTCAGACATTCTCCAAGAAGGGTGGCAGGGGCCCAAGCATTTGGACCATCTTAAGTGCATTCTCACGATGCTGGATCAGAGGCAGCCAGGATTCAAAACTAGCATCTTAATCTGGTATATTATTAATGCTTACCCCTTTTATGTACTTGAGATTTACCCCCCGTTTCTAAAATTTCTTGGAAATGTTATTCCATGTTGCCTTGCCCTTCTAAGTTACTGTTATCTTCTTGTTTAGAGGGCATGATTTAAAAAAAAAAAAAAAAAAAGCATGCTCTAGTAGTTTTACAATGATATAGTTCGGAGTTATTTATTCCAGGTCAATTTTTCCCTGTACCTGGTGAGCCCTTTCAAAATGCAGAGTCAGAAGTTCTTGGATTTGGACAATGGTTAAGACACTCTTTGAAACACCCAAACTCGAAATTCAAGTGACAAGGTTTGAGTTCATTCACAGTGTAGGCTACCACAGGGGAGATCTGACTGCGCTCCAGCCTCCCCGCTTTAATCTGGCCTGGTTCTGGTTGCTGCATTTAGGAGGTGAATTCACAGACAAAAGAACTCTCTCATTCTGCCTTTCAAGTAAATGAAAAAAAAATTAAAATATATTAGTTTTATCTCAGTGTTCATGTTCTTATTCAAGGACAAAGTAAAATGTCTCTACTTAAACTTCCTCCAGTTTCTTTTACTCTTTACCACATTTTCATTCTTTTGGCTATGACTGCTTTCTTTAATGCTTTTGATTAAATATACAAATTACGAATATTCTTTCTTGGGCCTCTTATAATTTAGTCTTCACTTTTAAAGTCATTGTCTTTCTAGCCCAACTATCTGGATCTTTTTTCTTTAAGGCTCCTTGCTCCCACTTACTACAATCATAGGCTTAGCACAGAGAAATGCCACTGGAAATTTGCCCATCTCTCAACTTATTGTTAATATGAAAATCACTATCTGTCTTTCTAGTAATGCTGAAGGCCTCAATTTATTTACTGACATCAGGAGGCAGCAGGAATATGGAAGTCTGCTAGGCTAGACCATTTGAATGAGGCAAGTCCCACTGGTCTGCAGAGCTCCAAATGTTTGAAGTATGTGTAAGCCAGTCTACAAAATGGATGCCCTGATTTACTGAAGCAAAACATTCTTACAGAACAATTTCACTGAACATTATTGGTGCACAGAACTCCTTGTGTTTTTTTCTCATTATTTCCTTAATAAGTTTTTAGATTAGTCAAAGGACATGTCTGTTTATCAGTTTTTGACACATATTATATAACAATCCTGCAGTAAGCATGTTATATAAATTACATGTGACTTCTTTAGTCTACTTGCAACTAATCCTAAAATATTACACAAGAGTGTTTCAAGATAATTTATGAAAATGGAATTAAAATATACTGGTTTTCATACAAAAATATTGGAGAGCCATGCAGTAATTTTATAACATGCTTTCCACATACAGTTAGTTATAAGATTCCCTTATCTGCAATAGTTTTTTTTTTTACTCCAAACAAATGTACTATTGTTTTTGACGAATCTTCCGAAGTACTGCCATATAAAAAGATGCACAGGATCTCAGTGCTTGGCTAAAATGAAGCAATGATTTGTATTCTGAATTTAGAGATGCAAAGCTCAATTACCTTTTCAGCTTCCCGGGTATCGTCAAACAGTCTCCTCTGTCTCCTTGCAGGGACTGGCTTGGCCGTTTCCCATGCTTCTACCCACATGTTGCTTGGGATTTTCATCCGTGCACTCAGTTCTCCTTTCAGAACCACACTGCCTTTTTCGTCAATCACCTCCTCTTCAATATAATCCCGGGGTGAATACCACCTCACAAAATCTTCAAGGAAACAACCTGGATTGGCTGCCTAAAACAAAGCAAAAGAGGGCAAAACCTTTTTTTCTCTTCTTCCAAAGAAAAAAACTCAGCAGAATCAAATGAAAGTCAACAGTAACCGCAACCCTGTTTGCAAAATCCAATGGTCACATTTACAGGAAACAAACTGAAACGAAGCCCCACAATGTAAAATCAGGACCCACTCTCCCGTATATCTGCCCTAGCACAAGATGCCCTTGCCCGCCATTAGCAAAAGTAACACACTGACATAAGGCAGTGAGCCAGCTGGCCTTACAAGCTTCAGATCACTACTCAAGGAGTCAGCTGATTCTCCAATGGATAAGAATCTCAATGGCCGGTACTGTCCTGGAGTATTTGTATAGGGGAATTCCAGATCAAGTGGAGCCCACCTGCCCATTATAAACTTCCTAAAGAACATTGCATCACTGACCAATCAGAGGAAGGTCATGAGCTCTGCTGACCAACCAGGAACACGAGATGATCATGCATCTCTTAGCCTCAACTTCAATAAATAAGAATCTTTTCCCCTAACCCCTTGGGGAACCCAGGAATTAAGCAATTGTTGCCTGGTTCCTTGCTCTTAGTTTTGCTATAAATACCTACTTTCTTCCACCACCCTGATGTCAGTGATTTGCTTTCTGCATATCAGGCAGAAGGCAGATCCAGTTTTGGGGTTCTACAACAATTCCTCCAACCAATTTGGGATGTTGTTCCCAACAACAAATTTTAAAGAGTCAAAAACATTTTATTTTTTCTGTCTGCTTTTATAGAAAGAAAACATATGATGAATTTGGAAATAAAAATTTGATGTGAAAATAAATTTTTAAGCAGGATATATCCTACATAACTTTAAAATCATAACAAACGCTCAACATTCAGAAAAGTAGCAAATAAATTCCAGTCAACTAAATTAAATAACATACAACATGCTCAGAATAATAACACAATGATGGAAAAATTCTGCTCTTCTTCAGTAAATCAATACTGATACTGCAATAGCAGCTAAATTAAAAAATGTTCTATGCCGCCATAAAATTCTTGTGCTTTATATAACAAATTAACATAAATTTTTGTGTTCTATTCAGAAGTTGAAACTCAAACTACTGCTTATTGTTTTTTTTCCCCAGGCTTCTGAAACCAAAGGGATTCAAGTTTTATTTAGTGGATAATTCTAGAGAATTAAGCATGACGCCAAAAGCCTTTCATATTTCTATTATCAAGTCTGGAAAAGAAACAGTTTTATGTAAGAGTCAACAATAAGACATGCAGGCCTTTTTTGTTTTATTTTTAAGGTATTTATTCGAAAAAGTTACAGAAACAGATCTTCCATATGCTGGTTCATTCCCCAAATGGTCGCAACAGCCAAAGCTGAGCTGACAGCCAGAAGTTTGAGTTCCTTCTGGGTCTCTAATGTGGGTGTAGGGGCCCAAGGACTTGTGCCACCCTCTGGCCTTTCCAGACCACAAGCAGAGGGCTGCATTAGAAGCAGAGTAGCTGCTTAAGTCTGGGTCAAGTCCAGCAACTGTAGTCACCTGCGGAGTGAATCAGCACATGAAAAATCTGTCTCACTCTAATTTTCAAAAAACAGAAACAAAAAAGTGAAAAAAAGTTACTTCACATGAGAATTCTTCCTTCCGCAGCTACCTGCAGACACTCAAGGCTCACTTCATCTGTGACACATCTTTCTTTGACTGTTAGAGATACATGCTCTGAGGACAAGTTCCACAATCAGCCTGTCCTCTGGGACCACGAGGCAGAGGTGCCTTGGGTATGGATCAGCATTTATCCCACACAAAAAGGGAAAGTTAGTCATGTCTGTTTCAGAGTGACTACAGATTTCCTTAAAACTACTGATTTCCTTAAAAATACTGCTAATTGGTGGCACAACTGTGTAATTTGACTACTGGAAATACAACCAGTTATCTGATTACAACAATGTTATTAAACATTTTTATAGGTGGGCCTGGCGTAGTGGCTAAATCCTGCTTGTGTCCTGGGAAGGCAGTAGACAATGGCCCAAAGCCTTGGGACCCTGCACCCAGAGCAAGTTCCTTGCTCCGGAACAGCTCAGCTTTGCTCGTTGTGGCCACTTGGGGGTAAGCCAGCAGATGGAAGATCTTTCTGTCTCTCCTTCTCTCTATAAATCTACCTAATAAAAACAAATATTTAAATCTTAAAAATTTATAGATACCAGCCTACTAGTGAAAAGTCTTAGAAAATACAGTTCTGCTGCAGTTAAAGGAGCTATGTAGATCCTTTTCAGGAAGGATCCATGTTAGTATGGGGAGTAATCTTTCTCAGTTCCAATCTGGACTATCCTGCACAGGTCTCTGCCAGGACTGTGTAGCTAGACAGGACAGATGAAGACAGGAGTGGCAGATGAAAGTAACTGCTGTGGAGACGTGTTTTTTTGTTGGGAAGCATACTCCCTAAGCTGTTTCCCTTTTCTTGCCTTTGTGGTTTTACATATACCATGATTGCCAACTAGTTTTCCTTTATCTGTGGTACTGTTTTTAAGGATTTATTTAATTGCAAAGTCAGATATACACAGAGAAGGAGAGACAGAGAGGAAGATCTTCCGTTTGATGATTCACTCCCCAAGTGACCACAGTGGCTGGTGCTGCGCCGATCCAAAGCCAGGAGCCAGGAACTTCCTCCAGGTCTCCCAAGTGGGTGCAGGTTCCCAAGGATTTGGGTCATCCTCCACTGCTTTTCCAAGCCACAAGCAGGGAGCTGGATGGGAAGCAGGGCTGCTGGGATTAGAACCAGTATCCATTTGGGATGCTAGCATGTTCAAGGTGAGGACTTTAGCCACTAGGCCACGCCGCTGGGCCCTGTGTGGTATTGTTTTAAAGCAATAGATTTTCTAATGGCAGAATTTTCTGTAACTTTTTTGTCTTCACAAAAATATACAGGTCTTAAGATATTTGTTGAACATTTTTCCTTTTCATACACACAAAGAAAATAAGCAGGGTAAGATTCCCTTTTTATTGTCTGCTAGCATAGAAGAATGAGAATGGCACAGATGTTCTTGGGATGTTTATGTTTAACAATAATCAGTATTTCAGAGAAAACTCAGGCTGGCATACACAGCATAGAAACTGGTCCAAAGGGGGTTAAGGATTGGGGAAATGGAAGACACACAAGTCAGCATGTTAAGAAGAGTGTGTTAGAGACAGCTCAGAAGCCCTTGACCTTGGCTACTCATTTTGGGTTTTTGTTTAAAAAACAAACAACAAAGGAGGACAGAAACAGAGGTCCAATCTATTGTTTTGTCCCCCAGCCCCATGAACCTCCAAATGCCCGAGCCAAAGCTGGGACTCAAGAACTCAATTCTGGTCACCCACCTGAGTGGCAGAAACCGTTACCGCTATTGCTCAGGGCCTCCACAGGCAGAATAGATGGAGCCAGCAATTAAAGTCAGATATTCTGTGACAGCATGCAATGAGAGCATCCCATAAACACTGGTTTGAGTGCTGACTGCTCTACTTCCAATCCAGATCCCTGCTAATGTACCTGGGAAAGCAGCCAACCATGTGAGAGATCTGGATGCAGCCAGGTTGTTGGCTTCAACCTGGTCTAGTCTCAGCCTAGTGGCCATGTGGAGAATAAACCAATGGATGGAAGAGCTCATCTTCTCTTGACTTTGAAATAAAGAAATCAATCTTAGCAAAACAACAAATCCCCTAGCAGTCTAATATGGAACATAGGCATTCCCACTGGCTCTTTTTTTCTTTTTCCAATTATTGGGACTAATCCTCTGCTTGTAGCATTGGGATCCCATATTGGCAGTGGTTCATGTCTTGGGTGCTCTACTTCATTTTTCTTTTTAAATATTTATTTATTTTTATTGGGAAGTCAGATATACAGAGAGGAAGAGAGACAGAGAACAAGATCTTTGGCCTGTTGGCTCACACCTGAAGAGGCTGTAACAGCCGGAACTGAGCTGATTTGAAGCCAGGAGCCAGAAGTCTCCTCTGTATCTCCCATGTGGGTGCAGGGGCCCAAGGCATTGGGCCATCTTCAACTGATTTCCCAAGCCACAACCAGGGAGCTGGATAAGAAATGGACCAGTTGAGACATGAACCAGCACCCATATAGGATCTTGCCAGTTTCCTGGCAAGCATTTAGCCACTGAGCCATTGTGCCATGCCCTGGATGCTTTGCTTCTAATCCTGTTCCCTAGTAATAACCTGGGAAAGCAGCAGAGGAAGGTCCAAGTCCTTGCGCTCCAGGACTCATGTAGGAGACCCAAAAGAAGCTCTTAGCTCCCAGCTTCAGACTAGTCTAGCTTTGACCATAGTAGCCATTTGGGAAGTGAATCAGTGGACAGAAGATCTCTCTGAAACCCTGACTTCCAGTAAATGAAATAAATCTAAATCTTCAATAAATCTATGCATTTAAATTTTTAAAATAGAGAAGGTAGGGTTACAGAGAGAAAAGGAGTGAGAGAGATCTTCCATGCACTGGTTCTCTCTCCACATGATTGTAACAGTCAGAGCTGGACCAGTCCAACGCCAGCAGCCACAAGCTGATTCTGGATCTCCCAAATGAATGCAGAGTCCCAGGGACTTAGGCTATTCTCTGCTGCTTTCGCAGGCCACTAGCAGAAAGCTGGAGCAGAAGTGGAGTTGTCAGGATTCAAACCAACACCCATTTTGGCAGGATGCAGGCACCAAAGGTGGAGGCTCCTCCAAATGCCATTTTAACCACTAGGTCAAATGCCTGGTCTATCACCTGTATTTTTAAAAATATTCATGGACTTGCTTTTGCTTTCACAAATAATTATCTTTGATTTTTAAACTAATAATCCATATGTCATCTTTCCCTAAATCCTGTATGTTTTAGACTCTAAGCCTGGAATGTTCTTTGACTGACTCAGCATTATCATTGTTTTAACCTTATCTTTGAAACAGAATTCACCAATGCTTATTTACATCTCCTCCCACAATGTGGACTGACTACTGCATAGGGTAAACACTGGATGTTTTATTTTTATGATGACAGCACCAGGCACACAGCAGGAACTCAAAAAGGTTTGTTGATTGAAGTAATCCACATTAAATCCTAAGGGTTTCCTAAACGTTTTGCATTAAACTGGATGAACCACACACAAAGAGCAAGTATCCCAATACATACCTAAAAATGACTGAGTTCTCAATTTTTGATTATTATTAATAGATTGGCCCTTTTTAAAATTTAAGTGCCAAGTTCTGACTGTTTCCTTTGGGGGAGGGAGGTTAGGTGTTGTTGTTGAGTGTTGTTGAGTCATTAATAGCTACAACAAAAAAAGACATTCAAGCTTTCTATCACTTTACAAAGTAACTTTCACAGTTTCATTCCAGAATAGCTCAAAATAGACCCGAGAGCTGTGAAAATGTGACCCACCTTAAAAGACTCCATATCCGAGAGCAGACAGGCGCTCTGCATGCGTGCTCGGAGGTGAGCCCCTTCTGCTGATGTACCTAATTTAGCTAAGACCTCAGACTGTTCTTCTAGCAGATCTTCTGTCATAGGTGCTGGTTCCTACAAAGCACAAAAGAACAAAGCTCATGAACAACCCTTTATGTATGAAGTAGACTGTATAAAAATAGAATAAAGACAACTGTTATTTCTGTTCTAGCAGTCACAAGGTATGTAATTGAGAGAACTCAGAAATGTACATTTTGTAAATTCTATATTTGAAAACTAACACATTAAGAGAAATATGAATTTCAGGCTTCCTGTCCCTCACAGGTAAGATTAACACTGACAAATAAGTCCTAATATATGGCATCACAAGTTGCAGTAAATTATTGCAAACAATGGAAATGGCTCAATTTTGAAAAAAATATGGGAAGGAACTGTTGCTCTGTGACTGTCTCTGGTTAAGGAAACAGGAGTTTTTGTTTTCTCGAAAATCACTCAGAATAACAAGTTTGGATTTCTTCATTTTTAATGGAAAGGCAGATCAAATTGAGAGAGGAGGAGAAACAGATCTTCTGTCCACTCCCCAAGTAGCTGCAACAGTCAGACCTGAGCCTATCCAAAGCCAGGAGCCGGGAGCTTCTTCTGGGTCTCCCACATGGGTGCAGGGTCTCAAGGGTTTGGGCCGTCCTTGACTGTTTTCCCAGGCAACGTGCTAATTTGCCTGGGAAAGCAGACAGCTGAATGGGAAGTGCAAGCAGCCAGGATGTGAACCGGTGCCCATATGGCATCCCAGTGCTTGCAAGGCAAGCATTTACGCTTTATACCATCGCAGAGGGCCCATACCACGCGCCAAATTTGAATTGAGAGTCTTACAGAGGTATTCAGAAGTGAGTATTACTCAGTAAAGCAATATGGTAGAGTTGATCCAATATAATGTGTATCAATCCAGCTCTGTGAATTTAGGCAATCGTGCAACCTTCTGGCAAGGCACTGTCATGAAAAATAAACTGTCATGCTCAATCAACACTAACAAGGGAAGAAACACTTAAAATTATTAACTTCCTTTTCTACTTTCTCGATGACTAAGAGAAAGTATACTTATCAAAATATCTCATCCACAAATTATGGGAATTTGTCAAGCAACACATGTAAAAGTAGAGGCCTTCATTCCTTCTATGAAGTGCACTTTGGCACAGAGTGGATTAAACTTACCCGTGATATCAGCATATCATGTGAGCAACAGTTCATGCTCTAGCTGCTCCAATTCCAACCCAGCCTCATGCCGATGCACTTGGGGAGGCAGCAGAGGATCATCCAAGTCCTTGAGTTCCTAGCTCCCACATGGGAGACCTGCTCTGGAATTCCAGGCTCCTGGTTTTGCCTGAATCGGCCCTGATTACTGCAATCATTTTGGGGAGAGAACCAGTGGATGAAAGTATTTCTTTGTTAACTCTGCAGGGCTCCAACACCTGTGGGCCTCATGTGAGCTAGATAAAGGAAGGGCCAGGGTGGGCTGACTGTTCCTCCTGATGTAAGCAAAAATTAGAGTGGGTGAGGGATGGTTGGACTTAGCCGCAGCATCAGTTGGCAGAGGCTGGCACTGAGAGCTAATTCTGTCAAGTCAAATGCCAGAACCACCTGGAGAGTGCATAATTTGGGAGTGGGAATGGCCTAGAAGGGAGATAGGGGGCACCTCCCTTGGGATTACCACTCTCATTGGACAGCACAAAAACCAGGACAGGGGCAGAGGTGGTTAGACAGGAAGGGATCTGCCAGTATGTGTGTAGGCTGGATAGTAGCTTTGTTGGGTTGAACTAGGCTTCAATGCCCATTGACATGTTACGAGAGCTAAATGGGATGTGGGACAGACTGAACAAGCCTATGGTACATACTGACAAGCATGAGAACCAGGGTAGGGTGCAGAACTGGTGGGGGTTATGGGGAGTCGCCCCAACCAGGCTGCAGCTCCCACTGGTTTGCGTGAGGACCGAGCATGAAGTGAGTAGGATCGAGGTGGATTACAACACCCATTGGTTCATGTGGAAGACAGGGTTGGAAACAGAACTGACCCGGCAACAGCAACGGCTAGCATGTGCATAAGCTGATTGGGGCGATGGATGGTGCCAGACCCTGTACTGGCAAACTCATGCAAGAATTAGGTTTGGGATCATCTCAGATGAAGTTTCTTTGGAGATCCCTCCAACTGAACTGCTGATCTCAGAACCCCAACCATGAAGAGACTATGTCAGCCAGTGGACTCTGAACAGGTTTCATCATGATTAGAATAGCAAGATTGGCAGCAATTCAGACCTGTTGAACTATCAAAACTGCTTTAGCAGGACCCTCAGAGCATGCCCCACATCGGGGACCTGGGATGGCTAGGAGGCTGGGTGGGGCTTTTTCCTTTGTTTCTCTCCTGACCCCAGATACATGGAAAAAAATAATATTAGTGTGGAAACAATGGTATTACTCACTTGAATCCTGTAACCCTTGATCCTTTGTACCTAATCAACTAAGTAAGATTATTGAAAAAAATCTCAAAAAATAGAAAAGAAAAAGAAATCAAACAGAAGCATTCTGAGAATCTGCCCATGAAAACATGATTACATAATCCCCCCATGAGAACAAAACTCAAAACAAAATAGATTACAGAAGAAAGGGAAATACAAAACTTCAAAGAGCTAGCCCAGAAACTGATTCCGTGCAAAACAATAAATTGAGAAAACAAGGAAGTAGCAATAGTTAAGAGGGGACACATTTACTGGGCACAATATCTGAGTTTCAAATAAAGGAAGTCACTTAAAATGTAAACATTAGAAAAAAAATGTTCAATATCAGTTACCTACGTTTCTAATTCAAGGAACTACAAAAAAATTAAAAGTAGGAAAAAAAAGAAGAAACCAGTGAAGTAGCAAGTGGAAAGTAAGGGCCAGCACTGTGGCACAGAAAGATGTTCCTAACATACTGTTAAACAAAATGTCTTACAGTGATGCACACATTTAAAAACACAAACACGCCTGCACTGTGCAGCATTCATGGCACTGGCTCCTGATGTCTGGGAGCAGGATCTAGTCCCATCTCCTTGGATACATCTCCTTGCCAACAGATCTGGGAAGGCAGCAGAGGAAGGCTCTCTAAGAGCTTGGGCTCCTGCCTCGCACATGAGACCCAGGTGGAGGTCCAGGCTCCATGGTTCGGCCTGGCTCAGCCCTGATCATTGTGGACACTTAGGGAGTGAGTCAGCCGATGACAGACACAAGGGGAGAAACAGATACTCTAATTCTGCCTTTGGAAATAAATAAAATCTTAAAGACAAAGGCAAAAACAAATCCATAAACCACATATCAGTTTGAGGTATTTTTAAAAGTTTATAGAAAGATGGAATTAAAAGTTTAGGGCCTGGCACAGTAGCCTTGTGGCTGAAGTGCTCGCCTCGCATGTGCCAGGATCCCATATGGGTACCGGTTTGTATCTGGCTGCTCTACTTCCCATCCATCTCTTTGTTTGTGGCCTTGGAAGGCAGTCGAACATGGCCCAAAACCTTAGGACCCTGCACCCATGTGGGAGACCTAGAAGAAGCTCCTGGCTCCTGGCTTCAGACCAGCTCAGCTTCGGCCATTGCATCCACTTGCAGAGTGAACCAGTGGATGGAACATCTGTCTGTCTCTCCTGTGTAGATTTGACATTCCAATGAAAATAAATCTTTAAAAAAATTTATTTTGACACAAAAATATTTTAAAATCCTTAGCTTAACTAATCACTCATTTGCATGAGTCACAGAATTTTTCTGTATCAAAGATGAATTTAACTTTGTTTTTCCACTAATTTTTTATCAGCATTTATCAGTGCATTGTAACAATTCTAAGAAATATAATCTACACCATTAACAGACATTACTTTTAGGGACAAGAAGAGCTAAGCTAGTGGATGTTGGCTTTCATTGTTTTTAGACAATTTTTTTTTAAAGATTTATTTATTTATTTATTTATTGGAAAGTCAGATATACAGAGAGGAGGAGAGACAGAGAGGAAGATCTTCCGTCCGATAATTCACTCCCCAAGTGGCTGCAATGGTCAATGCTATGCCGATCCGAAGCCAGGATCTAGGAATTTCTTCCGGGTCTCCCACATGGGTGCAGGGTCCCAAAGCTTTGGGCCATCCTTGACTGCTTTCCCAGGCCACAAGCAGGGAGCTGGCTGGGAAGTGGAGCTGCTAGGATTAGAACCGTTGCCCGTATGGGATCCTGGCACGTTCAAAGCGAGGACTTTAGCTGCTAGGCCACGGCGCCGGGCCCCTTTAGACTGAATTTTTTCAAAATATAATACTGAATTACAATATTAAAGGCTTACATTCACATACCATTTGCATCTTTTTATGGATTTTTTTTTTAACAAAATAGTGGTATTATTCATGCAAAAACAAACCAAAACTGCTCTTCCTCAAGGATGGATTTCTCGCTGTTCTATGTCCTAATAGTGCAAAATTACTTCAAAAGTGCATTTTTGTAGAGATAAAAATGTTTGAAGGATTTTGTATTTGTTCTTTCCCTCCCATATTTTTGGATTTTTGTCTGCAAACCGTTGAGCACTACCACTCAGTGTAACAGATGACATACTATCTATTTCAAAACACTTCACAATTTCAAATATGCAATTATCTTCAAGAATAAAAAGCATTCTATTCAGATATCAAATCTTGACTTTTTGTAGAACTTCCCTTGCCCTGAACACTCCTACTAGAATGAAGTTACATAAATAGCACAGCGTGCGATCCCGTGCATCCTACCTGGGTTATTGGAATGTAGAGGGGCTCTCCGTTATGCAGCAGCGTAAGTTTCCCATGCTGACGGAGACGTCCTTCTGGCTTTAGAGTTGCCACCTCCTTAGTTCCTCCTTTCTTGCCACTGTCTTGACCATTTCCCTTAAGTTCTTCTGTATCACTTAGACATTCAAAAAATTCTTCCTCGCTGTCACTCCAGGAATCCCAAGATTTTCCCATTTCTCCCTTATCTGTGTCTTTCAGATTATCCAGCCCCAAATGGTCTCCAGTTTTTCCAGCATCCTCTGAACATGTGCTAGTGATGTTATCTGGAGTGCTTGTCTTCTTCCCCTCATCACGTGCCTTCTTTCTTTCAATACAACAATTTAACATCTTAAGAAAACAGAAATAACATTTATAGTTGAATGATTTTACAGAAAAATAAATCTATCCACTGCCTGAAAAATTCATTTCCATTTTCTACTCCTCAGATTTTCATGTGCAACATCAGTGAGAACAAGCAACTATATGCATGATGAAAACAGCCTATAACCCATTATTAAAGTATTAGCTCTGATTAAATCAGGAGTACATTTATATAGTCTATGGGACATCTTTACCTGCAGTTTCTGATGCAGCAAACAACATCTTAGATCTGGGGGTCCACTTGCTAATCTATCAAATAAAAATAGATTAATGAGAAAATAGTTTAGTTTTAGTAAAACTGCTTCAAATATGCATTTTTTTTTTTACAATGCCATTAATTTTTAGTAATATTGACAAGAAATCAAAACCAGGCTTCTATAGGTAGGGTAAACAAGTTCCAGAGGGTGGGAACATTTTAATAAAGGCCAACAACCACTTTATCCTCCAAGTCTACACATCATCAACAGCAAATATTAACATATTTCAAAACATAATTACTAACTACTGATATTTTTCAGGTGAACAGAAAAAAAACTTTTAAAAAGCACCCTGGAAGTAGTTAGCAAACAATAACTTCTACTATAAAATCAGTCTACATATTGAGCTCACAATTTTCATAACAGATTCTTAACTAAGAACTCTATTTCTTTCTCTCTCTTTTCTCCCTTCTCTTCCTGGTATTTATTTTTATTTGAAAGGCTAATTTACAGTGAAGGAGAGTCAGAGAGGGTAAGTCTTCATCTACTAGTTCACTCCCCAAGTGGCTCCAATAGCTGGAGCAAATCCAAAGCCTTGAGCCAGGAACCTCTTTTGGGTCTCCCAGGTGGATTCAGGGCCCAAAAACTTCAGCATCTTCTACTGCTTTCCCAGGCCACAAGCAGGGAACTGGATAGGAATTAGAGCAGCTGAGACATGAATCAGTATCCATTTGGAATGCCAGCACCTGCAGTCAGATTAGTCTGTTAAGCCATGGTGCCAACTACATCATTTAATATTTTCTTTTTTTTTTTTAAGATTTATTTTTATTATTTTTATTGGAAAGGCGGATATACAGAGAGGAGAGACAGAGAGGAAGATCTTCCGTCCGATGATTCACTCCCCAAGTGAGCGCAACGGCCGATACTATGCCGATCCGAAGCCAGGAGCCTCTTCCGGGTCTCCCACGCGGGTGCAGGGTCCCAAAGCTTTGGGCCGTCCTCAACTGCTTTCCCAGGCCACAGGCAGGGAGCTGGAAGGGAAGCGGGGCTGCCGGGATAGAACCGGCGCCCATATGGGATCCCGGGCGTGCAAGGCGAGGACCTTTAACCACTTGCGCCACCGCGCCGGGCCCATTTAATATTTTCTTATCATGATTCTCCACAGCCATACACATGTATGCTAACTAGAATCTTTTACTGATTAAATATCAACATATAAATTTTACCAGAAAGCCATGAATAATCATTAATATTTAAAATCACAATGAATTCTAAATATGTTTTCCCTCTTAAAAAAATATATGTTTTGGCACAGAAAATACATGAAATAACAAGGATTCAAATAAAAACCCATAGGACATCATTGCTGCACAGTAACCTAAGCTTCTGCCTGTCCTGGCTGCTCCACCTGTTTGTTACCTGGGAAAGCGGCAGAAAACGATGGCTCAAGTCCTTGGACCCCTGCACTCAGATGAGAGACCTCAAAGAAGCTCCTGGCTTCAGATGGGCTCAGCTCTGGCACTCAGACCATTTGGGGAGTGAAACAGCATTAGAAGATCCTTGTCTCTCCTCCTCTAAATCTTTCACATAAAAATAAAACTTAAAAAAAACCCATACACATTCAACTGGCTGTATTTATTTTCAAACTTCTCTCTATCTGTATGTGATACTGTAAGGACACTGTGTGTATATGGGCATGATTCAAAGTACCTGTAGACACACACTATTTATATGAAAACATCATAAGCTTTTTATGTTAAGAACTTTTATTCAAAATGTGTAATGGACTCTTAAAACTTTACACTGAGTGCTGCATAATTCAAATATTCCTGTATGCTTGATATTTAGCCGCCTTCTTTTTCTATTATAAGTTTGCTGCAATGAACACCTCTGAATATAAACATATCCACACTTATTACCAGGAGAAAATTAACAGATCAAAGTCCAATGTCTGCCAGAAATAAAAAGTTCCTTTTTAAATAATTTAAAATTGAAAGTATTACCCTGGAATCAGAAAATTGTTTTCCCATCTGAATCGCATTTCGAGAACAAATTCCTGCCAGAGGTGTGCCACTCCTTTTAACCCTCCATGGTAGAAATTGATCATACAAAGGCACAACGCCAACTTATATGTTAAACTGTCAGATGGTGCTGATTTGAATTGATTGTAGAGATTCTACATTTTAACAAAAAAGAAACAGAATCAAACTTGTTAAAAGGTTTACATGCATTATTAAAAAGTATCTATGCACTGTCTGGTTTCAAACAGAACAATCTCCTGCAAAACATAAATTTAATGATTTCATAAGAACCCTAAAATGAGAGAGTTCTTCAGCTACAATGCACACTATATATGCAATATTTTCTCATCTTTTTCAGAAAAATTCTTGCTGTGTCAATGTTCTGTAGCAGGTCATTATCTGAGTAGGGGTCATGATTTCCAATTCAATTTTCCAAAGATGATTTTAAAAACAAAAGGATACTTACATTACTAAATTAGAAACACAGCAATCTCCAGAAACGTACTGCATTTAAATATTTTAATAGTAGATACAAACCAACTTACATAATCTTCACCGTCTGACAGAGGATTACTAGTGTCTGCTGAAGAACTTCCATTCGTTGGCTTATCCGAAGCAGCATCAGGGAACAGGAACTTGGGAGGAGGAAACAAGTTAACTGCACTTTCGATCACATATCCCATTCCTGTTCATATTTGACTTTTTAATGACTTTTGCTATTGACACAGTAGAAATGTTCTTAATTATACAGGCTAGTTGGTTCTACATTCTCACACATTTTTTTTTCTTTTAAAAGCATGCAAAATTTCAGTGACTTGTTAATTCCAGAAATTACAAATATTTCTTTAAAGCAACCACCTGGTTCTGTATGTATACTCTATGTGTATATATCATCCTTAGGTTTTCATACATGAAATACTGATAAAAAAAAAGACACCATTATGACACCATTAGACTGCCCCTAGAGAAGCAGTCTAACCTTGTTCTGACCAAGGTCTTTTCCTGTCTATGTGTTCTTTTTGTTATGTATGGGGTTGGGTGAAGTAAAACTGGTAGAAAAATTTCAGTCCCCACAACAAGCTATACAGTCTGAATAAAATCCACAGGATTTGTAAGTAGAACGGAAACCTGACTATTGACGTTTCATTCCTTCCACTACATTCTTCCAGTCTGTTCTGTGGCACTACTGACTAGGTATTCCTCTTACTATGCATACTTTTAGCACATATTACAGAACATGTACAACAGACTTTTCAAAAATAAGAACTAGTATGCACCAAGCACCAGTGCATGACACACTTACAAACAATATCTTGTTCTCATACCGCAACGTGAACTAAATATCACTGGGTACATCCCATCATGCCTTACTTAGAAGCCATCCTAGTCCTCTGTTACAAGCTAATTACTGTAAAACTTTGTCTAGACTGCTGTCAAAGGAACCTTTCAAAAATAGAATTCAGGGCAAGTGTTGTGGCATAGCGAGCTAAGCTGCCTACTGTAATGCTAGCATCCAATAGGGGCTCATCTGCAAGTCCTGGGTGCTCAACTTCATTTCCAATCCAGTTCCCTGCTAGTGTGCCCTAAAAGGCAGCAGAGGACGACCCATGTGGCTGGGCTCTAGCTCCTGTGGAGGAAACATGAAGAAACTGCTGGCTTCTGACTTCAATCTGCCTCAGCCCTGGCTGTTTGGGCCATTTGAAGAGTGAACTAGCAGATAAAAGAACCTTTCTGTCTCTCTCTCTGTAATGCTATCTTTCAAATAAATGAGGTATTAAAAAAAAATCCCACAATTCTAATGTTCTGTTTAACATATACTGAATCGCTAAGATGAAGTCTAGTGCTTCATGGACAGGTGGTTGGCACAGCAGTTAAGAATCTGCTTGGGATGCCTCCCATATGGGAGCCTGGGTTTGAGTCCCAGACATACCTCTAATTGCAGTTTCCTGCTCATGCCCACCCTGGAAGGCAGCAAGTGACGGTTGACCCACTTGTCTGCCACTCACACAGCAGACCCAGATGGAGCTCGTCCACTGGTTAAAGCCCTGGCCCGGGCCTGGCTATTGAAGGCATTTGGGAAGTGCACCAAGGGGATGGAAGAGATTTCTGGTCTTTGTCTTTTTCTCCATCCGCCTCTTAAAGTAAATAAAAAACAACAGCAAAGTATACTGTTTCAGATGGCAAGTCTCCTCCCAGCCATTCCTCCATGTTAATTTTTTTTTAAAAGATTTATTTTTGTTTTTTTGCAAAATCAGATATACAGAGAGGAGAGAAAGAGAAAGATCTGCCATCTGATGATTGACTCCCCAAGTGACCACAAAGGCCAGTGCTGTGCCAATCTGAGACCAGGAGCCAGGAACTTCCTCCAGGTCTCCCACCGCGGGTGCAGGGTCCCAAGGCTTTGGGCCATCCTTGACTGCTTTCCCAGGCCACAAGCAGAGAGTTGGATAGGAAGTGGAGCTGCCAGGACTAGAACTGGCACTCATATGAGATCCCGGCTCATTCAAGGCGAGGACTTTAGCCACTAGGCCATTGCGCTGGACCAAGCTTTTTTTTTTTAACTTCAGGATTCAGCTCAAGAGTCTCTGCTTGGGAAGTTTTACCTGATTCCCACTAAGCAGACAGAGGCAGATGACCCCCTGTACAGTGTTCTCACCCTCTTTTGCTAGACTTCTGAAAGGTCACATGGTCACATGAACTTTAACTTGCATTTAACTTCCCTGCTTTCCACTACATTTATGGTAATTCCCCTGACTGTGGAGACTTTGCTTCATTCAATCTACCAGAACAGTCTGTTTGCCAATGAATACATGCTTATGCAAATACACACGTAAAGAAAGGCCCTTTAGTTACCAAGAGAATGGTATTGAGCACATCGTTATTCAGTGGTGACTCCTCCACACCTCTGTGTTTGCGTATTTTCTTCTTTGCAGTGTGTACCATATTTGAAACTGATAATTTATGGATTGGAACAGGTGCCGGCTCTGTCAACTTTGACAAAGCATGAGAAATATCAGCAATTTCTATAAAAATAGAAATAAATACAAATGAAATCACACACTTTATCAACCTTTACAAAACATCTTTCAGCAATGAATAAACTGATGGTTCTATATTTTCATCATTCTTTTATCTTAGTCTTAGATGGGCTCAGAATTATAAAAATTTAATAACTACATTAAGTTTTGTATAGAAATCAGTGACAAAGGTGCCACATAAATTATTTTTCCCCAAGGAACTTCAAAAATAAAACTTCAAAACTCTGCTCTTTAAAATGTTAATTTTGTTGGGAAAAAAAAAAAACTTAATAAATGTACTTAACATCTTTAACAAGCTCTGGATATAACCTAGAAAGAAATAGCAGCTGTCTGTCCACCAAACCTTACTTGTTAATTCAAAATGAGGAAATAGATGAAAATTTGTTAGAAAAATATGTCAAAGAGAGAATAATATACATTTACAAGTAACATAAAAAAAAAAGCAGGTCACCTCTTCCTTCTTCCTCAAATGTGGATCGTCCAAGAATCTCATCAGTTGATTCCTTTCGACGGCAAATTTTAAAAAACTCTGTGACAAAATCACCTACAGAGAAAAACCATTACTCATTTTTGACACTTAGAGAAAGGTGTCCTATAATTTAAAGCATAAGTCTTTTCACAAATGCTATTTACTAGAATATAAGCCACTTAGTTTTTCCAAAGGTAGCCATGCTCTTTTCTTTCCATGTCCTAGGACAATTTAAACTTACAGAGAGGAGAGACAAAGATCTTTTGTCCACTGGTTCACTCCACAAGTGGCCACAACAGCCCAGAGCTGAGCCAGGAGCTTCTGCCAGGTCTCCTACGCGGGTGCAGGGTCCCAAGGCTTTGGGCCATCCTGAGGCCACAAGCAGGGAGCTGGAAGGCAAGTGGAGGAACCAGGATACGAACCAGTGCCCATGAGATCCTGGTGCATGCAAGGCAAGGTCTTGGTCACTAGGCTATGGAACAAGGCCTAGATGTCCCAGGATATTTAAAAAAAATTTATTAGAGAGGCCAGCTCAATGGCCTAGCAAGTTAATCCTCTGCATGTGGCACCTGACATCCTGTATGGGTGCTGGTTTGTGTCCCACGTGCTCCACTGAGATTCAGCTCCCTTGCTAATGGCCCAAGAAAGCAATGGAGGATGGCCCCGCACTCATGTGGGAAACACAGAATGAAGCTCCTGGTTCCTGGCTTCAGATCAACTCAGCCCTGGCCATAGTGGCCATTTGGGGCATGAATCAGTGAGTGTAAGATCTGTCCTTTGTCTCTCTTGCTCTCTCCAAGTCTGAATCACAAGTAAAATAAGCACATTTTTAAAATATTTTTTGGAATTTTTTCTACAATGAAAGGAAATAATAATATTTAACATATATTGCAAAGAAACAAATAGTATTTATTAAATTGTATATGTCAGCAGAGTATATTATATAAATTTAACAGTCATCTGTTCCCAACTGCTCCTCTAAAATTAGAATTCCAAATGCATCAAAAAATTAAAAATCCATTTAAAAAATAAAAAATATTTTATAAAAGAATTACAGGTATATTTGTAAAACGAATTTAAGGCTTACCAAAAACCATGAGCACAAAACTACAAAATCATGAATGTTTTTTATCTTTCAGAGTACTAAATTTTATAATTTATAATTTCAGAACCAACCAGTTCTGAAAAAAACTAGAACATTCTATGAACTTCTTCAGAAACATAAAAATATTCTATAATCCAAACCAACCCAGCAATTGCAACCACCAGCTGATAGGGGCGATGGACTGTGCTGGGCCCTGTGCTTGCTAGAACATAGAAGAATCTGGTCTGGGAACACCTCAGACAAAGTTTCTTTGGGGATCTCCCCAATTGAAATGCCAGACTCAGAACCCTAATCATGAAAAGACAGAGGACAGGACAAGTCAATCAACCACCTCAGCTATATGTTGGCAGCGAAATACTGGGCAAATGGAGACTCTATGATGGACTATGTCGATCAGTGGATTCTTCAACAACCTCGTCGTGCTTGGAGTGGCAAGATTGGCAGTAATTCATAACTGGTGAACTATCAAAACCACTTGAGCAAGTATCTCAGAGCATGCCCCGGGACCTGGGATTAGTGGGAGACTGGGTGGGGCTTCTCCCTCAAAATCCCCCTTTACCTCAGATACATGAAAGAAACAATATGGAAATAATAGTCTTACCCACTTTCCTATAGCCCTTGAACGTTTTTACCCTAATTAACTCTGTAAAGATTGTCAAAAATCTAATAAAAAAAATTCTGTAATCCAAGCCTAAAAACTAGTCAAAGAAGTAATGTGTGAACATGGAATAGTAATCTAAAAGGAACAAATTTTCAATTCTAAGGTCCAATGAAACTACTGTAAAAGTCAGTGAATAGGAAACAATATATTCAGAAATAATTTTAGAAAAACAAATTTTAGTAAAGTTAATAACAAAGAGTCAGTGCTTAAACAATAGAAACTATTATGCATGTAAAGTATACACAGGCAGATAATCTAATCTAATCCTCACAATGATCCTATGAAAGATGTACAATTGTTTATTGTGGGGACACTGAGGCATGAAGAACTTGCTCAACTAGTGGATCTAAAGTTCGTAGTAAAGTTTGTCCAACTCTAAGACTTTTATTATCTGCCCTTTAGTATTTTCCTAAAGTCCTGGACAAATTTATTAACAGCAGGAAATTTTACCTTATGCAACCCTGCTGTCACTGTATGGTAATATGGTTATTAAAAATGGCAACTGATAATTATCAACTGATGAATAGTATATGATGAGTGACTAAGAGTCCATGAAAATAATGCTTTAGAAAAATGCATCCTTACAGCCATCAATAAGGATTTAATAACTCCCCTAGTTAGTGGTAATGTTTCAGGTGAAATGGAATGAAGATAGTAGGGACAAACACAAGAAATGAAGAAAATAGTTTCATGTGTAGTAAAACACTAAAGGGGAAAAACATAGAAAGGCACAATAAGCAGAGGGGCCCAGAAGACTTCATGAAAGACAAACCTATACAAAAAGGGATGGGAGGGATCGGCACGTGGCATAATGAGCAAATCCTCCATTTGCAGTGCCAGCATCTCACATATAGATGCCCATTCATGTCCACTCCCCTGCTTGTGGCTTGGGAAAGCAATGGAGAAAGGCCTAGATCCTTGAGCCCCTGTACCCATGTGGGAGACCCGGAAGAAGCTCCTGACTCCCAGCTTAGCTATGACCATTGCAGCCATTTGGGAAATGAAGCAGAGGATAGATTTCTCTACATCTCTAAGTTAAAAAAAAAGGTGGTGGCGGAGGGGGGGGGGGAATACAAGTTCCCACTTATTGTTGAGTAGCAATATTTTCCTAAGTAATTCCATCTATTATTTCACTGAATCTTCATATGAGGCCTTTTTATTTATACCTCTTTTCTACTGTTAGAAAACAGGTTTGCAGAAGCAGTGTCACTCTAGAAGGTTCTCAAAATTAGTGCTCCTTATATATCACAGTTCCAGAGGGATGACAGAAGCAAAGGGGTTCCACGGACTAACACAGGGGAAGGAGAAGGAGCAGCAGAAAAGCAGCAGAATCAACGTAACATAATGAGAGCAATGGAGAATTTAGAGGTATGGCATAAAGCAGTTTAAACTGAAAGACAAGAAAGAGATTCTGTTAGCATTAACACATCAGGATTCATTCCTATTAGCAAAATGTTTTCTAGATGATGTTGAGGAGGCCCAAAAAAAATTATTATGGGGGTGGGGGGGGGGTAGGTAAGTGAACTAAAATGCCCATTTAGTCAGACTGGCAATATTTTAGGAAAGGAGCCGAACATATATCTTACCTAGCAAACACTGAGGGTTATCAGCTTTCCGAACTCTAACAGACCAATGAGGAGCCTGCATAGGATCCAGATCACTGAAATGAGAAACATTAAAGTCTGTACCATCCATGAACTCACCAAAAAGCAGTCTGATGAAGCACTGTGTAAAGGGAAAGCAATCTCTAACGCCTCCCTTAAACATAACTCTTATCCAGACACATCTGTATAAGCTTTTCAAAAATAAAATTTGGGGTTGGTGTTGTGGCACAGTGGTTAAAGCCGCAGCCTGTGATGCTGGTATCACATGTGGGTGCTGGCTTGAGTTCTGCTGTTCCGTTTCCCATCCAGCACCCTGTTAATATGCCTAGGAAAGCAGTGGCAGACGGCTCCCAAGTGGAAGACGTGGAAGAGGGTCCTGGTTCCGGGCTTCATCTGCCCAAGCCCTTGCTCTTACAGCCACTTGGGAGTGAACCCGCAACTTAAGAGAGCACTCTGTCTCCCCATCTTTCTCTGTAGCTCTGCCTTTCAAATAAAAATATAAACCTTTATTTTTTTTAAAGCCATACTCAAATCTTAATAAAATCTTAAAAGTTTTTAAATCTTAAAAAATTAAAGTCCTTGGGCCCGGCGCGGTGGCGCAAGTGGTTAAAGTCCTCGCCTTGCACGCCCGGGATCCCATATGGGTGCCGGTTCTAATCCCTGCAGCCCCGCTTCCCTTCCAGCTCCCTGCCTGTGGCCTGGGAAAGCAGTCGAGGACGGCCCAAAGCTTTGGGACCCTGCACCCGCGTGGGAGACCTAGAAGAGGCTCCTGGCTTCGGATCGGCATAGTATCGGCCCGTTGCGCTCACTTGGGGAGTGAATCATTGGACGGAAGATCTTCCTCTCTGTCTCTCCTCTCTGTATATCTGCCTTTCCAATAAAAAAAAAATAAAAATAAATCTTTAAAAAAAAAAATTAAAGTCCTTAAACCAAAAATAAAACACATAAAAGGAAACACTAACAAAGTGCATATAATATTACTTTGAAAAGGCAGTGACAGATTACATTTTAGGAATAATGAAAAAGGAGTAAGAAATAAGCAAACATACACAAGTATTTTAAACAACTGGGTTTTTTTTTTTTCTTATCACTATTAACAGAAAAAAAGAATACAAAAACTTGAAGATCAAAAGTGCCCTATTGTTTTTTAAGATTTATTTATTTTTATTGGAAAAGCGGTCAGATTTACGGAGAGAAGGAGAGAGAAAGAACCGGTGTTCATATGGGATCCTGGGGCTTACAAGGTGAGGGTGTAGTCATTGAGCCATTGTTCCAGGCACACAAGTGCCCAATATTTTCAACAGATTATATTACAGCACATCCATTCAAGGGAATATTATTGTAGCAATCAACAAATGACCACAAAGATTTACACTGATTGGCATGAAAGATATAAAAAAGTATATTAACATGAAAATAATATATATAAACTTAAATTTTAAAAAATACATCAAACTGGTTATTTTTATGTAATGATTATAAGTATTCTTTAATTTTATGTACGCTCAAATTATTTGACAAAGAACGCTTTTGTTAAGTTTACAATAAGCAAATACAACAAATTTGTTTTAATAACAAAAGAAAATGTCTTATTCTTCACTACCCTATATCAAGCATGAGAAGTTACTAAAATTGTCTTCTCTATCTTCTAGATAATGCTTGCTGAAACTTCGAAGTTGTCTGCACTGCAAAGGAATGGAAGGCCACAAATCCACACATTCAGATGACTACCAGAATCGGCCCCTGCCACCCACAGGGTAGATGAGGATCAAACTCCGGGCCCGGAGCCTTAGCCTGGCTCGGCCCTGCCTGCTACAGCCATCTGCGTAGTAAACCACAATACAGAAGGCCTCTGTCTCACTCTGCATTTCTCTGTAACTCTTTCGAATAAATAAATACATTAAAAAGAAAGAAGAAAAAGAAAAGAAAAAGCAATCTAATCAGAAACTGATATAGATGTAAAAGGAAAACTGCTAGCCACTTGGCCATTATTCTAGTTAAGTTTTTTCATCTCAATGCACTATTAATGTACTTACGAATAAACATCGTTATCCACAATGATTCCTTCAGTTAGATGAGGCCATGTAGTTGCTAAATGAAGTTCACTAAAATAAACAAAACATAAAATATAAGCTTTAACATAATTCTACTTCTAGAAGTATATCCTAAAGAATCAAAAATATACATGAAAGTATAAGTGGCTTTATTATTGTATTATAATGAACTATAATACAACTGCAAATGGCAGCTCTTACATGCAAAATTAATGTTCAGACATAAAAAAAATTGTTACACATAAATAAGCTGTCAACAATACACATATGAATGGATTAACAAAATGTGCTACACATGACATTCATCCACTGGCATATTTACAACCATAAAAAGCAGTAAAGTACCAAGTCAGGCTACACAACATGGATGAACCCCAAACCATTAAACTAAGTAAAAGAAACCAAACACCAAAGGCCACACTTGATATGGCTCCATTTGCATGAAATGTCCAGAATAGGTAAACTGACAGAAAGTAGATTAATGTTGGCCTAGAACTGCAAGAGATAGGAAGATTATGTAAACTGGGATTGTGTCTAAAACGTGAGGAGCTTTTTTTTTATTTGAAGTAATGAAAACGCTCTGGAATTACACAGTGGTAATGACTGTGTAAATTACACATTAAATTGACTGATGTAAACACTGAAACACTAAATTACACATTTTAAAATGGTTAATTTTATGGTTGGTGAACAGTACCTTGATTTTGAAAATTCACGTTATGCATCAGGAGTTGGAAAGCTTTCTACACAGAACCAGTGTCAGTATTCTAGATATTGTGAATCATGTACAGTCCCTGCAGTATTTGTCTTCTTTTTCTTTTCTATTTTTTAATAATGCTTAAAGCGTGAATATCATTCTGAGCTCACCAGTCAGATAAAAACATGTTACTGGCCAGATCTGGCTTAAAAGCCATGGTTTGCCAAAGTCTTACTGTAAATAAATTAGTACATTTCCCAAAATCCTATAAATGCGATAAACACAGCTGCAGTGTTTCTATATTTCCAGCACTGTATTCATTGTGGCAAGTTACAATATCATGAAGCATTAGCAAATCACCATTACCATCAATTTAAAATAATTCTAAAATTCACTCAATAGGCTAAAATTCTTAGTACCCAACAGGCTCTTACCTAATAGGATCTTCACAGGCACCAAATGGCAACTTGCCAAACTCCAAGCCTCCAACTTCGCCTCCTACAAGGGCATCTATATCTGAAAAGAAACATCTTTTCTAGTATTTTGCAAATTAAAAAAAAGAGAGCGAGAAAGTAATCTAATCGATTTAGGTTAAGTGTTATTGAAAATTACTGCTTTAAAGACATCCACTACAAAGCACATGCAGTCAAGCATTAAAGACTTCTCCAGATAACAAGAACATTAAAGCATGCTTTTATTTTTCATTTCTGCACTGTTTTTAAAATAATATTTTATTGTTTGCTCTTGTTTCTTTCTGAAATATTTGCTAAATATTACTTGAGAAGATATTATCATTGTAGTTTTTCTCACATTTTCTAAGATTATGATAAATGTAATCTAAACACAAGTCTTACCTAGGTATTAAAAATTTAGTCACCAAGCTATACTAATCAGTTTTGCTGTCAATAATTTTTACATAGTATATTAGCAAATTTGTCTTCATTAATAAAATTCTATTCTGGAAGACAGCAGATACAAATACTTAAAGTTTAGAAAAAAATTCTCCTTTAAATTATGAATAAAATCTGAGGTCAGATCCCACATCCCTTCCGCAGTAGTGACGAATGCTTCCTAAAAACACTCAAAGAATCTATTTCTCTCTGAAATATTATAGATGGTAGTTTTTAATTATTCAGTCTACACTAGGAATTCCTAAAATTAAACTTTAATATTGGCTAATGAACACTTCCCAGATTTGTTAAAATCATGTTTTGCATTTATTAACAAGCTAAGTTATTCAAACCAGTCTTTAATACAGCTGGATTACTTGTCTCAGCAAGTTTTCTTAGGTCAGATGGTTTCCTTTTCCCAAATTATAGAATGCTTAACACAACGAAGATCACAAGGACTAGCTTTATTACAAAACATGAATTTTAGGAAGTTTCAAAATTTATAAGCAGCATGCTTTTACATATTAGTATGCTAAAAATTACTGGAATAATAGTACAAAAAATTCTAACTGAATTAAAAGTAGAAAATAATGTGGGATGAAAAGAACCAAGATATTTAGCTTTGAGTATGGTTCATATGCAAACTTTATGACCTGGTCTTCAGCCTGTTACTTTAAAGAAACATATGGGGCTAGTGCAGTGGTAAAAGCAGGTTAAGTAGGTGCCTGCGATACCAGCATCCTATGTTGCAGTCCCAGATGCTCGAAGTCCCATCCAGATCCCAGCTAAAGGCCTGGGAAAGCAGTGGAGGATGGCCCACATCCTTGGGCCCGTCCCCATGTGGAAGACCAGGTGGACTCGCCAGGCTTTGGCATGACTGATCCCCAGTTATTACAGTCATCTGGAGAGTGAATCTGTGGATGGAAGATTCTCTCCCTCCAATAAGAACAAGAAATCTTGAGGGAAAAAAATATCTAATAGATAATAGCAACCTCAAACATAAAATGATAATTACATAAAATACAATATAAAATGCCAACCACAGTGTTTGGCCTACATAACTTGTAGATCCCTTCTCCTTTCAAGGGAAACATGTTAAGAATTTCTGTGGCCTTCAATCCATTGAAACAGCCTGGCCAAACAGCCATCGTGAGGAGTTCCACACAGCTGACAGGAACCCTGCTACTTAGGCCACCACTCACAACCCCCAGAACATGTACTAGAAGGGAGCTGTAACAGTCAGCAGAGCAAGCTTTAGAGCTAGGCCCTCCGGTCTGGGATGAAGGTATCCCAAACAGTGTCTTAATCTCTAGGCCAAATGTCTACCCTGATTATATTTTTAAGATCCAAGTTAAGAATCTTTTTGTTTCCCACTATGTATGTATAAATACATATTATTTTTCTTCTTTTGTCTGCCTTATTTAGCCCCCTTCTTCAAACTCAACTCTCCGGGAGACTTTCTGTATACATTTCTCAGTTTATGAATGACTTTTCTTATTCTTCTAAAAACAAACATTTTTATCCTATGATGTTCCATAGCAGGGGATGCTTCCTAATAATTGGCTTCCAAAAACAGGCTGTAAAATAGAGAATAATTTTATCTCTAGAAAACTTTGGAAATTTTCTTTACAAGAAAAAAATGACAAATCAGCAATTTAAAATAAATTACATGGGGGGAATCCCCAGCGCCTATAAAACTGTACCACATAATACAATGTAAACAACAATTAAAAAAAAATAATAATAATAATAAATTACACATATTTCTAAGGTAAAATTTTTGAAATGGTTCAACAATTCTGGTTACTGAATATATTTTCTTCTATTTATATTCAGTAAATTAAACATAGTTCTATATGATCTCACCTGGAGGTTGCTGAGGCCAAAAGTATTGTTGCCAATCCTGAAGTACATACGTAAGTCGAATGGCAATGTTTACTGGAGGCAAAGGAGTTAAAGGACATCCCTAGAAAACATAAGTGAAGATTGTAGCATATAACTGTGAGTACACTCACTCTATTAAATTCAACAACAAAATTTCAAACTTATGGAATATGTAAAACATTACCTTTATGAAACCTAGATTTCCAGTTTACTCTGTTATACAATATGTAAATCTGGCCTTAAAGAAGGAAAAACAGGATGGTGTGTGGCATATTAGGTTAAACTGCCACCTGCCTGTATGCTGGTCCTCTCACTGGAGTTGCTCTGCTTCCAGTCAAGTTCCCTGCTGCTGCGCATGGGAAGGAAGTTGAAGGTGGCATTTGGGCCCCTGCTCTCTCCATGTGGGAGAACTGGATGGAATACTTGGTTTTAGCCTGGCTCAACCAACTGCCGTGGCCATTTAGACAGCAAGCAAGCCAAATGCAAAATCTGTCCCTTCATGTCTGTCACTGTGTCATTCAAATAAATAAAATAAAATTTTTAAAAATAAACTAATAGGATGCAGCACTGTGGGGACAGCTAGTTAAGCCACTGCCTCTGACTCCAGTCCCATTTGCTCCACTTTCAGTCTAATGTGCTTGGGAAAGTAGTGGCAGACGGCCCAAGGATTCGAGCCCCTGTACACATATGGGAGACCCAGGTGAAGTTGCTAGTTCCCTGGCTTTGGCCCCAGGCTCAGCCCTGGCTGCTGCTGTTATCTGGGGAATGAACCTGCAGATGGAAGAGCTATGTTTTACTTTGTAACTCTGGCTTTCAAATAAATATCTTTAAAAATAAATTAATAACATAATAGGAAAATGTCACTTATTAGAACAAAAGGAGTAGAATTTATAAATTGAATTCTATGGAATAAATTCTCATGAGCCAAAGCTTAAAAGGTACATTATGAATAATCAAAGAGAAGGATCCTATAGTAAGGAATTGTACTGGCAAATGTTAGAGCTAGAAAAAAAAAATAAGAACCATTACACATTAGTCCATGAGTTTGTTGTACAAGACGTTTGCATAACTTTTAATTACTGATTCCATACATTTTCATTTGCTAAAAAGGCTGTAAAGCTACACAAATGTTGTCAAAATAACATAAAACAGCAAGTTACTATACCACTCTACCAGGAAGGGAGAATTTAAATAGCCTGAAGAAAAAAAATATTCACTCAAAATAGTTTTTTGTAATTTAAACAATGAAACAACTTTCTACTATTAGTTCAGATATATTCAACTTGGAAGAAAAATGGTAACTTTTTTGCTTTTAAGACTGATGCATTTGAGAAAGAGAGAAAAACAGAACACTTCCCTCACCTGCTGGTTCACTCCCTGAACTTCCGCAATGGCAGGGACCCAGGGAGCTGCAGACTGGGAGTTGGAGGATGAAAGACTAAAGCCAGGCCCTGGGGGTGCAAGCTGGCTCTTTCAGGTGGGGCCCCATTACTTTGCAGCCCTCACTGCAGCCTCCCTTTGTCTGCATTAACTGGGAGCTGCAGTCAAGAGGCAGGGCTGGAAATGGTACCCACGTATTCTGACAGGAGAGGCAGGCATCTTAATTGTTGGGCTAAATACCCACTCTAAATACACTTTCTAAATTTCTTTTTAATTTTTAGTAAAATTATATCCAAATTCTATTTTCCATGAACTTTAAGATTTTATTTATTTGAGAGAAGAGTTACAGAAAGATGGGAGACAGAATGATTTTCCATCCCCAGGAGCTTCATCCGATCTCTGTGTGCGCATGAGCCCAAGTGCCTGCTACCCTGTACTGCATTCCCAGGCACCTTAACAGGGAGCTGGGTCAGAAGCAGAGCAGCCAGGAATCAAAACTGGCAACTATATGGAATGCTGGCATTGCAGATGATGGCTTAACTCACTAAGCCACAATGCTGGACCACCAACTCAATTTTTTTTTAAGGATTTATTTATTTTGATCTAAAGGCAGATTTACACAAAGAGAAAGAGAAAGATCTTCTAATCTGCTGTTTCACTCTCCAAATGGCATCAACGGCCAGAACTTAGCTGATCTGAAGCCAGGGGCTTGGAGCTTCCTCCAGGTCTCCCAAGTGGGTGCAGGGATCCTAAGACTTCAGCCATCCTCCACTACTTTCCCAGACCATTGGCAGGGCACTGGATCAGAAGTCGAGCAGCAGGGACTCACACCAGTGCCCACACATGATGCTAGTGTTGGAGGTAAAGGATTAGGTTCCTCTAACTCACTGTTTAAGGAAATATTAAGAATAGACTGGAAGGCCTGGCGCGATGGTGTAGTGGTTAAGGTCCTCGCCTTACACGCCCGGGATCCCATATGGGCGCCGGTTCTAATCCCGGCAGCCCTGCTTCCCTTCCAGCTCCCTGCCTGTGGCCTGGGAGAACAGCTGAGGATGGCCCAAAGCTTTGGGACCCTGCACCCGCTTCGGAGGCCTGGAAGAGGCTCCTGGCTTCGGATTGGCTCAGCTCCAGCCGTTGCAGTCGCTTGGGGAGTGAGTCATCAGACAGAAAATCTTCCTCTCTGTATATCCGCCTTTCCAATAAAAATAAAATAAATCTTAAAAAAAAATAGATTGGAAAATATGAGCTGTAAAATAAAACAAAAACACATTAAAGCCAGTCTTGAAGATTTAACCAGAATTTTAGACTAAGATGAATGGTTCACACATGCAAAATAGATTGTATTAACAAATCAGTTAACTAAAGAAAACTTAGATTGATCTCTAAATTCACTCAAAATCATAAAAGCACTATTATCCATGGGTCGGCAATTTGCACAGCAAGTAAAGCTACAATGTCGGCATTCCATACTGGCATGGGTTTGAGTTCTGACTGCTCCATTTGAAATCCAGTTCCCTGCTAATGTGCTTGGGAAAGCAGTGGAAGATGGTCCAAGCACTTGGGCCCCTGCACCTACATGGGAGATCCAAAGTCACTCCTGACTCTTGGCTTCAGACTAGCCCATCCTGGCCATTATGGTCACTTGATGAATGAGCCTACAGATGGAAGATGCTCATTCTCTGTTGTTTCTTCTCTCTTGACTTTCAAATAAACAAAATAATTTTTAAAAAGATGTTACCATCCTATGATCAGATTTTCTCTTCACATTGCTTAATCTATACTAAGTGGATCAGGATATAAATGAGCCTAGACATCACCCGGGAAAAAGCAGATATAATACCAATCTCCATATTTAACTTCTTCCTGTGTGTTACTAATGCTGCTGCTCTACAACCACACTAGGAGCAGCTATGAGGTGACATTTAGCTCAGCAGTAGCATCCACAAATGTCACTACATTAGATTTAACTGAATTTAAACTCAACCTGAGGTATTAATTTAAGACAGATGATCACATAAAGGCCAACTGGGGGCTCCTGTGTTCTATGCAAGCAAAATAAGATCTTAGCAACTTTTTAGTCAGGTGCAGATATTAAACAAGTGTGCACCCACAGTTAGGTGCCAATGTCCTTCTGCTCCAGCCACACAGTAATGAAGACACAGATTTCAGAAAGAGACAGCTAGGCTCAAACATAAAATAAGAGGTCTCTCTCTCTGCTTCTCCCTGCAACTCTGCCATTCAAACAAAACTAAATGTTTTTTAAAAAGGTAAGGACAGTAGAGTCAATAATTGGGTAGCTTTAAGTTTGCAGAAACCCTTATGTATCCAACCAGGTCAATTTATTTTAGTACAATTCACCTGAAATCAAGTTTCAGGGAGGTTTTATACAAGTTTTGTTAGATTTTTCTTGGGTTTTCTTTTTCTTCCTTGGAACCTGCTCTTGCCACTATGGCAGGAGATTTCTTTCTCTCTTAGATTTCCTCGGGTTTTTCCTTCCTTGGAGCCGCCTCCTGTCACTATGGCAGGAGCCCCTTACTCTTTTTCCCTAAGTAAATCCTGTTTTACAAACTTAAAATTATTTGTTAAAGCTTTTGACAAGTGATGTGACAAACTGATTAGAAACATTTTTTTAAGTGTAAAACTATGAACAGCCAAAATCTAAGTCAAATTCCAAGACAAGTTAGTCCCTGGTTCAAAACAGAAATTCATCTACCTAGAATAGTCACAAAAAGGATTAGAAAATAATTCTCATTAATGAACTATTAATACTTACGTCTGGCCAGAAATATGATGTATAAAGGTTAAATAATATGCTCTCTAGAATACACTGTGTTTTTAAATGAAGATAGTCACAAGAACATGTTGTCAATAGTTATTTTGAGTTAAAAAAATGGAAGGGGAAAGGAGTCTTAAATTTCCTAACCTGGTTTATAGCATTACATTAGGGCTTCAACATCAAAACCAGTTTTACGACTGTTCTTCATTATTCTTCATGTGCCTAATTTAAACATTAAACTTTACCATAAATATGAATGTATATAAAAACATATATGGTTTGGTACAATCCAAACATACACAGTGGGACATATATATTCTTCACAAATAAGGGGGACTACTTTAGTGTAAAAAACACTCCTAACTCCCAGCAAGCCAATTATGAAATTCCATACATACATAGATATGTAATATTTTGACTGAACCTTTAAAAGTTGACACTCACCTCTAAATACTTTAGTATGTAATTCATACTTTACCATAAGTTATTTTATCCAAGACATTTAACACTGATATTTTCTAACACATAGTCTGTATTAAAATTGTCCCAACTATCCTAATCCTGTCTTAATATGTATTTTGATCCTATAGCTAATCATTCATGCCTGGCATTAACTGTCAGATCTCATTAGGCTCCTGTAAACACTCCTACCCTCTGGCCTATAGTGACATATAGACATTTTGAAATCTCAACCAGTACTTTGCAAAATAGCTCTCACTTTGGAAATATAGGTGCATTTCCTCACATTCTGATTTATGTCAAACATGTTGGCATGAATGCTACACAGATATAAACATAGTATCATACTGAATGTGTCACATAATGTTTGTTAATCAAACTGGATCATTCACAGCAGGTTCTGTGGTACAGTATAATAAGTAACTGCCTGCAACACAGGAATCTCCAGTGAGCACCAGTTCCATGTCTAGCTGTTCCATTGCCACTCCAGCCCCTGGCTAATACACATGGGAAAGCAGTTTAAGATAAGCCAAGTGCTTGGGTCCTTGTACTCATATGGAGACATAAGTGAAGTTCCTGACTGCTTTGGCTTTGCCCAGCCCTGGCTGTTGTGGCTACATAGGAATGAATCAAAGGATACACAATTTCTCTTTCTGCACGCCCTCACCTCCAGCACCCTGTATCTGTCTTTCTAATATTTTTTTAATAACAGGAAAAAATTTTTTTTAAAAAAAGTTTGATCACTCATCAACAGTAGCACTTAAAATATCTCACTTAACTGGCCTCCTTACAACTCAATGCTACTTATTTCCTTGGGTCAAAAAGTACCACCGCTAACTGCTTACCTGGCATTATCTTTTTTTATGGGTGCTTACAAATAGCACCTCAACTTAAATCCTAATTCTTCTCCCAGAGCAGCACAGGCAAGTCCTCCACATCTCTGTTAGTGTTTTTATAGACCACCACAGACCTATTCTTTCCATCCCAATAAGCTGAAAGGCTCTCAGTTAATAGAACATCAAATTATCTCCAAAATCAAATCAAACAAAAGTTTAAAAAACAGCCAATTCAGAGCCAAAAGGGCTCAACCTTCCAGAAGTCAGAACTAAACAAGCAGCTACATAAAGCCCACCCGGTTTGGGAAAACTGGCAATATTACCACTAATGGACAAAGAGTCAAAAACAGTCAATAAATGTTAACAGATTGAGCAATTGAAAAAAAAAAAAAAAAACCCAACTGTTTCTTTAGCATTAGTTCACTAAAAAAAATCCACTCAGATATTTCTTTAAGCAAACATGGTGATTTATGCTATTAGATTTCCTATAATCAGTTACATTATGATATCATAGAGTAAGCTTTCTGTATACTCATAAAGCTAGCAAGCAGCATTTCCATCTGCATCCCAGCTAAGACAGATAGCATCGGCGTCAACTCACAATCTTTGATTTGAAGATATCCAGTAGACCTGATAAATGAGTATACTGAGATGGCACTTTCCGAAGATGAACCATTTCAAAATCAGTACGGACACCAGGACCCTGGCATTCTCCTACATACATTCTTCGCCATTTGTGATGAATCTGCACAAAGAGTGGCACCTGACTGCAGGACATGATTAAACAGAGACACAAAGTTTCATTAAACATTGAATAATTCTGTCAAATTCGATAGATCTCACACATTCTAAGCACTAAATAAAGAACACTACAAAAATAAAGATTTGTATTTAAAACAAAGAGACTGTTTCCTTATCACACTAACAAATGTAAAGAGGCTATCATCTAATGGCACTTCAGTAGAAACATGGTCTTTAAAAATGGGTAAAATCAGACCCGGCACGGCACGGTGGCACAAGTGGTTAAAGGTCCTCACCTTGCACGCCCGGCATCCCATATGGGCGCCGGTTCTAATCCCGGCAGCCCCACTTCCCTTCCAGCTCCCTGCCTGTGGCCTGGGAAAGCAGTCGAGGACGGCCCAAAGCTTTGGGAACCTGCACCCGTGTGGGAGACCCAGAAGAGGTTCCTGGCTTCGGATCGGCATAGTATCAGCCCGTTGCGCTCACTTGGGGAGTGAATCATTGGACGGAAGGTCTTCCTCTCTGTCTCTCCTCTCTGTACATCCGCCTTTCCAATGAAAAAATAATAAAAATAAATCTTTAAAAGAATAATAAATAAATAAGTCTTTAAAAAAAAAAAAGGGTAAAATTGGGCCAGGCGCCATAGCATAGCAGTTAAGGTCCTCACCTGGAACGTGCCAGGATCCCATATGGGTGCCAGTTCGAATCCTGGCAGTCCTGCTTCCCATCCAGGCCTGTGGCCTGGGAAAGCAGTCGTCGAGAACGGCCCAAGACCTTGGGACCCTGCACCCATGTGGGAGATACGGAGGAGGCTCCTGGCTTCGGACTGGCTCGGTTCCAGTCCTTGTGCCCACTTGGGGAGTGAACCATTGGATGGAAGATCTTTCTCCCTGTCTCTCCTTTCTGTATATCCATCTTTCCAATAAAATAAATAAATAAATCTTTAAAAAAAGGGGGGGGGTAAAATCATGAAACATTATAATGAAAGCTTTCCTGAATGAAATCAGTATCATATTAGTATTCTACATTAATAATAAAACCTTAATTGGAAGTACTAAACTAAATTAAATCAACATTAGGGCAAAATAATATTTTATACTTTGTCATTCAAACTTAGAATTAGCCCTGATTTACTGAACATAAAATGTATTTGTAATTCCTAAACCAATACAACTAGTATTCTCAGTCATTTTAGACAAGTATAGGCACGAAAAATCTGAATTACTTATTACGCAAGTTTTCCCAGCTAGAATCAGACAAAACTGTTCTGCCTTCTTTCAGCTATAAAAAACTCTTTTCTTTTTCCTCCTTTTTAATAAAAAGGTTTATGTTACTTTTATTAGAAAGTCAGATATACAACAAGGATCAGACAGAGAGGAAGGTCTTTCATGCACTGATTGACTCCCCTAGCAACTACAATGGACTGAGCTGTGTCCATCTGAAGCCAGGAATCTCTTTTGGGTCTCCCATGTGGGTACAGGGTCCCAAGGTTTTGGGAACATCCTCAACTGCTTTTCCAGGCCACAAGCAGGGAGTTGGATGGGCAGCAGTGTTGTCAAGATCAGAATCGGTGCTCATATGGGATACAAGCATGTGCAAGCCGAGGACTTTGGACTCTAGGCTATCATGCTGGACCCAACCACCTTTTTTTTTTTTTAAGATTTATTTATTTTTTTATTGGAAAGGTGGAAATACAGAGGGGGAGAGACAGAGAGGAAGATCCTCCGTACAATGGTTCTCTCCCCATGCTGCCTCAACAGCTGGAGCTAAGCCAATCCGAAGCCAGGAGCTCTTCCAGGTCTCTCAAATGGGTGCAGGGTCCCAAGGCTTTGGGCTGCCCTCAACTGCTTTCCCAGGCCACCAATAAGGAGCTGGATGGAAAGCGGGGCTGCGGGGATTAGAACCAGCACCCAAATGGGATCCTGGCATGTGCAAGGCAAGATCTTTAACCACTATGCTATCGCACCAGGTTCACAACCACTCTTTTCATGATCTACATGCTGCTACCTTTCTTGGTTTCGTATGCATGCCTGCTGCATATGATTCAACCCTTCAAAATCGCCCATGAGCAAAAACATTGGGTTCCTATGTGCAAGGTTTGTAATATGCCTTATAGGAGTCAGGGAAGCGTCATTCAGGCTGCTTACAGTGCTGCCAGCCGAGTTCAATATAAACAAATCAATAATACGTATGAAATAAAGGATCTTTAAAAAGAAATAAATTGTATGAGGATACTTCAAAAATTTATGCCAATTAAAATGAAAAGATCACATTTATACAAAAAAGTCCCTAAGTCATACATATATGAAATGTTTTTCATAAAGCTCACAGGAAATAAGTGTTGTTTTAAAATAAACTATGCATGGGGGCCTGACATGATGGCTCAATGCCTAAACCCTAACCTTGCAAGCTCCAGTATCCCATTTGGGTGCCAGATCGTGTCCTGGATGCCCCACTTCCCATCCAGAACCTTGCCTGTGGCCTGAGAAAGCAGTCAAGGATGGCCCAAAGCCTTGGAACCACCCTGCACCCTCATGGGAGATCAGGAGTAAGCTCCTGACTCCTGAATTCAGATTGGCTCAGCTCTGGCAAATGTGGTTACTTGGGAAGTGAACCAGCGGACGGAAGATCTTTCTGTCTTTCCTTCTCTGACTTGTTAAATAAAAAAACAGGAAGATCTTCCATCTGCTTGTTCACTCTCCACATATCCACAACGGCCGGAGCTGAGTCAATCCAAAGCCAGGAGCACATATCAGTGCAGAATCCTAAGACATTGAACCATCCTCCGCTGCTTTGTCATGCCACAGGAAAGGAGCTGGGATAGGAATGGGTATCCAAATGGAATCCCGGCACACGCAATGTGAGGGCTTTAGTCACTAGGCTGCCGCATCAAGCCCATAAACAAACCTTTTAAACAAAAATAATGAACAGGGGATGGTGCAGGGCATGGTGAGCTAAAACTCTGCCTGAGGCACTTGTATCCCATGTGGGTGTCGGTTCAAGTCCCAGGTTTCTTCTGTTCAGTGCCCAGCTTGTGGCCTGGAAAAGCAGTGAAGGATGGCCCAAAGCTTTGGGACCCTTGCCCATGTGGGAGAAGTGAATGAAGCTTCTGACTCAGGGCTTCAAACTGAACTATGGCCCTGGCAACCATCTGGGGAATGATCCAGCAGATGCAGGGTCTGTCGTCTGTCTGTCTCTCTGTAACTGACTTTCAAGTAAAAGAAATAAATTGTAAAAAGAAAGAAAAGAAAGAGCTACACATCGATTACACAGATTTTGAGTTTGGGGGACCAAAATAAGCAATGTTTTAATTCCATTTTCCCACAAACTTTACAAAGCACCCACATACATAAATTGGTTGACAAAACCTAACATAAGGCATATAGAAACCTTTAATTATCTATTTATCATCTGAGCAGTGGTTCAGAATTTGGTGATTCAGTGATTCTGGTAACTCTGAGAACACAAAATTCTTGAATAAAAAGTACAGGCAATATAAAAAAAAAAAGATTCCTGTAGAAATGATCTTCATGAGTTTTAGCAATGGTATTCTTACACCCTAATCCCAGTCTATAAAAAAGTTTGAGTTGGGCCTGGTGCGATAGTGTAATCACTAAAGTCCTCACCTTGCATGCCCGGGATCCCATATGGGCGTTGGTTCTAGTCTCGGCAGCCCCACTTGTGGGGCTCCCTGCTTGTGGCCTGGGAAAGCAGCCGAGGATGGCCCAAAGCCTTGGGACCCTGCACCCATGTGAGAAACCTGGAGGAAGTTCCTGGATCCTGGCTTCGGATTGGCTCAGCACCAGCCGTTGCGGGTGCTTGGGGAGTGAGTCATCAGACAGAAACTCTTTCTCTCTGTCTCTCCTCCTTTCTGTATATCTGACTTTCCAATAAAAACAAAATAAAATCTCTTTTTTTTATATTTTTTTTAAAGATTTATTTTTATTATTTTTTCATTGGAAAGGCGGATATACAGAGAGGAGAGACAGAGAGGAAGATCTTCCGTCCAATGATTCACTCCCCAAGTGAGCGCAACGGCCGATACTATGTCGATCCAAAGCCAGGAGACCCTTCTGGGTCTCCCGCGCAGGTGCAGGTTCCCAAAGCTTTGGGCCGTCCTCAACTGCTTTCCCAGGCTACAGGCAGGGAGCTGGAAGGGAAGCGGGGCTGCTGGGATTAGAACCAGGGCCCATATGGGATGCCGGGCGTGCAAGGCGAGGACCTTTAACCACTTGCGCCACCGTGCCGGGCCCAATAAAATAAAATCTTAAAAAAAAAAAATCTGAGTTAATTTCTTAGCTATGCTTAAAAAAATCCAGTAACTGTGCAGCTTCACAAATTATCATTAAAATAACTTTTAGTAAATTGTATAAGAATTTATGAATGTCCACCTACCAGCCAGTGTTTCCCAAAGCAATGGAAACAGAACTGAGAAGAAGGTTGCACTTTGACTCACTGAGAACGGCATCACTGTGTGCTGCAGGGGCAATCACCACAAATTCACGCAGCCCGTACCTTGAAAAAGAAATCACTACATTAAACAGGGGAAACTGCAGGACCTAGAAACCCACTCAGTGAAAATATGAACAAACTTCTGTTCAGGAAATTTAGCAAGCCAAAGTCTGAAATACAGGTGTTTCTTTTAATGGCCACTGAACCCATAACCTTCTAAATTTATTTTTCAAAGCAGTTTCATCATTCACTCACCTGCTCCATTCTATAATACAGATTAGAAGCATTTGCTAAAAATTAGAAGCATTTGCTAAAATCACGACTGTTAAGTAACTGTTTTACCTTCAAAGATAATGTCTGCAAAATAAAAGCAAGCACTGAAATTTTGCTTTAATCAGCTGACACCTTGAGTCCATCAAACTGGGAGAGTAAAGTCTTACAATCCCCAAACGGTAAGAAAATAACTATCACTGAGGATACATATCTGTAAGAATATAACTTACTTAATAGCCTAAGGAATTCTTGAATTCTTATATACATGTTAGGTAAGAGTTACACAACTATGAGAAAACAACTTAACTCCTGCTATAGCATCTATATTAACAAGGAAACCTGTCATTTAGTTATGTTGTCAAGTAAAGCCAAAAATCAGGTACAAATATATTTGTAAAATATGTACAGGCAAGTGGGTAGTTTTGTCTACTAAAAGAGCCTCTCCTATCCAATCATCAATTCACTTTCAGGCTTTTGTTTTTGTTTTTTCTAAAAGGCAGGCACACACACACACACACATATACTCACTCAGTCACTCTGAAAATGAGGGAAAGAATACACTCCCCAAATGCCTGCAAGGGCAGGACTGTGCCCCAAACTAGGCAAAGGTCAAAGACGGAGGCCAAGAACTGAATCCATAACGCCGGTATGGCAAGAACATATCTGCCTGAGGAACTGTCGCAGTTTCCCACAATCTGCTTTAGCAGGAAGGTCCCATCAGCAGTGAGAGCCAAGGACCAGCCCAGGTCCTCCAATGTGGGACAGACACACCCTAACCAAAGATTGAACCACTAGCCAAAAATTCCTTCTCAGTCATTTATGTAAATGAAAATATTTTTTAAAAGTATTACTCCTTCATAAGTTTATTTTAATCTCTGGAGATATATAGTTAAGAATATTTAATTTTATGAACATTCTCAAGAAACTTTTCAAAGAACCACAAAGATAAAAATATGAAAGTAATTCTTGATATTTGTTTTTTGTTTACATGACAAAAACTTATTTCATCTCATCTTGCCTCCAACCACCTACCGTTGAAAATCTTAATTAGTAACATTCAGGCAGCATCAAATAATGTCAGAGCTTTGAATTTTAAGCTTTCAAAGATTTTAAAAATACTTTTCCTTTTTTGAAATATCCTTTGAAGAAAGAACACAAAACAAGTAATTATCATTCTGTTCGACCCTCCACACAGTGGTATGAAACCACTGTCAACAGTTTCCTGGCTACTCTTTCAGAGAAGTCCATCTGTCCATATAGCAATCTTGCTCACCAGAAAGATTAAGCATATTTTCCGTACTTCTTTTCAAATGCTAAATGATCATTACTCCGATTCCATTCTAATACTGTTGCAACAACAAGCATATTATTTTTACAGATATTCATGTATCTGTAACGAATTCCTAGAAGTTCGTGGATAAAAGAATCTCTGCATTTTATAACACTGACAGTTGTAAATAACCAATACTTTCTGTACGTACACGTGTAACTGTGTCAATGTATATTGTTAATATTAAGTCAAAGGATACACTCCATTTTCCTGTATTCTACCTTCTATCTCCTATGCCTCTGTTTTGTCTCTCCACCACTTGCATAAGCACTCTGTTGTCGTCATACACAATCCAATTCCTGAGGGAACAACTCTTTGAAGGTTCACCTCAAACACTACCTGACCATTATCAACCCCCTTAAATGTCCTTTCTTCTATGAATTAGATGTTTTATACTATTATTACGATTGTGACTGTATCAATAAGTCACTAATTTGCATTCTTTAATAGGTAGGCTTGAGTCCACCTTCAAGATAGCAACGTTAGTGAGGGCTTAAACAAACACACAGACACACACACAAATGGCAAGTGCGGTAGCATGACAAGTTAATCCTCCACCTGTGGTGCTGGCATCCCATAGGCACCAGTTTGTGTCATGGTTGCTGTATTTCTGATCCAGCTTCCTGCTTATGGCCGGGGAAAGCAACAGCTCAAGTTCTTAGGCCACTGCACCAATATGGGAAACCCAGTAGAAGCTCCAAGATCCTGGCTTCAGATTGGCTCAGCTCAGCCAGTTATGGCCATTTGGGGAGTGAACCAGTGGATGAAAGATCTTACTGTCTCACCTCCTCTCTATAAATCTGCCTTTTGAATAAAAACTTAAAAAATTAAAAAATCAACCAGAATTTAAAATGGGCAAAAAAAAGTACATCATAAACTATACCACCGAATATGGTGTTAACAATTTTAATTTTAGAAAAATATTTTAATGTATTTTAAATGCATAAACAGACGTGAAGCAGTAATGCAAAGAAGAAATCATTTTTTAACCCATGTTTAAATATGTAGCACCTACAACAATACTGGAAATAAGAAATCAGAGGTATTCAGGAAGAAATTCTCTTTCTTTCCAAATGCCATTTGTTCATTCTTATGGACCCAAGTCACTGTCTGTCGCCTTTAGTGCTACCTATAAAACCAGATTTCTTGGGTCTGTTTATTTGATGTCACATTTATCTCTACATTTTTAAAAATAGCTTTACTGGGCACAGTATTCTTAGTTAAAAGTTTTTCTTTCAGTACTTGGATTATATTATTGCACTGGTCTCTGGACTCTTCTGAAGAGGACAGCTGTAATATTCTCTTGAATATAGTAAGTTTTTCAAGATTTTCTATCTTTGGGTTTCACAAAGGCTGTGCTGTGTGCAGCTGTGGAGATACTGAGATTCTTGGCTCCCTACATGAACATTTCCTATCAACTCTAGTACGTTTTCTGCCATTATTTCCTCATACTGGCTTTTCACACCTTCTTTCTCTTCATCTGGCATTCCTACTCCATGGATGCTTAGGAAAACTGAATACTGACCCACAGATCTGTTTGTTCACTTTTCTCCAAAACTTTTCTTCTCTGTTCTTTGTATTGGACAATATCTGTTAATCTTTCAGATTCACCAACTTCCTTTTACCATCTCAGATCAGCTCTTCAGCCCATTAGATGAAAGTTCTATTTCAGTTATATTTTTCAACTCTAGAATTTCCATTTGGTTCTTCACTATGCATTCAAAGTTGAAACCAGTTCTTACGGAGGGTGGCTCTGGAGACTTGGTGGAATGTCCTAAACTAATGGTGACATAAGCATTCACAGCTTCATCCAGAGATGCCACTCACCTATGCAGGTAAACCTTTCACACAACAGAAAATTCACACTGAGAAAAACTGCAGCTGCCAACTTCTTAGACTGTAGTCCGTATTGCAAGGGACAGCCTCTGGTTAGCCTGCCTGTTGTTCCCCTGCAAGCCTATGGCAATAGCCACTCTAAGAAAGGACTCGAATCAGGATCAGGAACTCAAATCTGAGCTTCCCTATGGATGGCAGATTTGAGTTTCGGAGCCATAACTGTCTCCCAGCATCTACATAGACAGAAAGCTGGAATTAAGTGCTAGAGGAAGGAATCAAACATTGGCTTTGATAAGGGATGTGGGTATTAGAACCAGTATCTTAACTGCTTGATCAGATGTTAACCCTGCCTCTTCCACGTTTAAGAATTTTTCTGTTCCTTCAAAACAAAGAAATTTGCAGTAAAGGCAGCTTTGGTCTCCTGGTTGCATCTGATCTGCTTTTACTTCTTTTCAAACATTCAAACCCTCCTAATTTTTAATCAGTTCAGTGCAAAACTTAATATGGGTTCTGCCTGATGAAACAGCATTCACAAATTCTTGTGGTCACCTATTTTCTGTTGTGTATCTCAGTTCTTAAACTGTGGAATGACTTAGAAACTTGAAAAAACCTCCTAAAGATTAAGCTTGTGATGATAAATTCATATATGTCACCATAAAAATTAAAAGAATGCTAAAAAGAGGAGGAGGGATGGTAGGAATTTTCATATTAAAAAAATTCCATGTAAAATACAGAAAATTTGTTTCCTTTACATAAACATAAAAAAGCAGTCATTTAAGACGTAATATTTACAGGTAAAAACTTCTGTGCCTGGTATTTTTCAGTAGCTAAGAAATCTTAGTAATTTGCATCCTTGGAAACTTTAAGAATTTTCCTTTTGGCACTGTAGTGTAGCATGTAAAACTGTAGCAGAGTTTTTGACCAAGTTGCTCCACTTCCAATCCAGCTCCTTTGCTGGATTGTTCTTGGAAAAGCAAAGGAGGATGACCCAAGTGCTTGGGTTCCTGCACCTATTTAGGTGACCTGGATAAAGCTTCTGGCTTCAGCCTGGTCCAGTTCCAACATTGTGGCCATGTGGGGAGTGAATCAGTAGACTGAAGACCAAATCTCCAGTGCCCCCTGCCTCTCTGCAACTCTTGCCTTTCAAACAAATAAAATTCATCTTTTTTTTTTTTTGTCTGTCTGCTAAACCCCTTCTATCCTTTCCTGTAATCCATTATGTCAAATTGAGGACATTATAGGTCACCTGGTACTAAATTCCAGATTTCTCTGGCTGTTTTGGTAGGCATTATAATCGATTGTGTTGACTACACAGGAGCCAAAAATCTCTGTGAAGCAGATCAAAGGACAGCTGACCAGACTTCCCACTGCTGATGTGGCTGAAATGGTAATGGCCACAGTCAAGAAGCAAATGAGAGCTCAGAAAAGGTACATCCAGCAGTAGTCAGTCCAGAGGAAAGATAGTGTGTTCCCTTATTTTGAAGATAATGAAAGGGTCACAGTAAACAACAAAAGCTCAGCTAAAGGTTCTGGCATCACCAGACCAGTTGCCAAGGAGTTTGAAGACTTGTGGACCAGGTTTGCATTTAGTGGAGGCAGCATTAAATGATACTACAGTGTTTTTTTTTTTTTTTTAAAAAAATGAACAAAATGTTAGTATTTGATCTCCCCCACTCCCATGCCAAAAATGCCCACTTCTATTTTTAAAAATTCTTTTTTGGGGGGCCTGGCCCAATGGTTCAATTGGCTAATCCTCCCCTTGCAAGTGACGGGATCCCATAGGGGTACCAGTTTGTGTCCTGGATGCTCCATTTTCTATCCAGCGCCCCGCTTGTGACCTGGAAAAGCAGTGGAGGATGATCCAAAAGCCTTGAGACCCTACATCCATGTGGGAGACCTGGAAGGAACTCCTGATGTTTGAGGGGCTCAGCCCTAGCCATTGTGGCAGTTTGGGGAGTGAAACCAAGATAAAAGACTCTTCCCTCTGTCTCTCCTCTGAATATCTGCCTTTCCAATAAAAATAAACAAATCTTTTTTAAAAGTTCATTTTTAAAAATCTAAAGACAAACTCACATAATAGAAAATTTAAATCAAATATATAAAATTCTACTAACTTAGTCTCCTGAGTTTTAGTGGAAGCATGGTTTAGCACTATCGCCTTCAAAAGAAAGAGATCCTTTGTACAATTGCAAAAGGTGTCACTTTAAATGTGATATATGTCTTACATGAGCATTTACCTCATAAATCAACATTTCAATTTCCAAAAATGTATATTAAATTTCCCATATTTCAGTTTTCCATGCTAGTCACCAGAGTTACAGTTAGGTACCTTAGATTGTGAAGAGTTAACAACAGACCTGTGATGGCTAATCTCGGAAAAACTTATTTGCAATATGGATTCTTTGTTGGCATCTAAGAATCTGGATTTTGAGAGGGTTGTCAGCATACCTTGAACTGATCAAAGTTACTCAATGTTCCTATACTGTGCAAGCAAAAAATATAGTCTAAGTGTTTAGCTTTCCTCTGGTGGTCTAGAATGTTGGTAAATACTATACCAAGGTTATCTATACAACCCGCCTCCAATTTAACACCTTGTGGGCTAAGCCTCTTAAAAGCTTCCTTGATGGACAATGACTCACAAGTACTGTCACAACATGTTGCTGAAGGAGTGGAACACATCTGTATGACTCCACAAGGAAAGGACCCTTAAACGCTTACATTCCCTCTGGACTTTGCATTTTTGCTTTGCATTCTGAAGGCAATTATAATATTTCTGCTGTAATTATAACCATGTGCTTTGAGTTATCCTAGCAAAGCATTAAATCTGGAGAAACTTTTAGGGTCTTCCTATCACCCATACTAAAAGATACCTGAATAAAATTATACATACCATCTTACCAGGCAATGAGCTCTTGGAGGAAAATCATTGTTCATACAAAGCAAATCCTGCATAGATTGTGGGATTGCATCTACAAAACCATTTGATAATGAAAAGTTAGCATTGTCATTTTAAGGCAGAATTTTACAGTATACATAGAAAAACTCAGGTCTTGCTAACCCATACAATTTTGTGACTGCTTAAAGATTTGCATTTAGGGCTACTTCTAAGATTTAGGGAGGAGTACCTAGGAGGTACATAGTTAAGATGGTACTTGAGGCCTGGAGCAAGGGCTCAATGACTAAATCCTCACCTCGCAGGTGCCAGGAACTCATCTGGGTACCAGTTAATGTCCTAGCTGCCTCCACTTCCCACCCACCTCCCTGCTCATACCATGAAAGAGCAGTAGAGGATGGACCAAAGACTTGGGACCCTGCAACTATGTGGGAGACCTTACTTGGGAGAGTGACAAAAGCAAGCACTGCTATCAACAATGCAACAGCACTAAGTTCATCTGAAGAAGACACAGATTTGATAAACCCAATGCTATGTATGCGGGGAAGAGGATACTTAAGTTATGCTTGTACTAGAAACCTGCTTGGAGAATATGAACCTCAAGAGAAGAAAAACTTCTGAGCCAGAAGAAATTGAGGAAGTAGAAGAAATAGAAAATGAATGGGAAGCTCCTGCTCTGAATGGTCTCAGCCAGGCCATAGCCTTCAAACAAGCCCAAACTGAAGAACAATAACAATGGAAACCCACTCATGAGATCCCTGAGTCTCCTGTGACCCAAGATGTCCAAGGACAAAAAAAATCAGATTTCAATGATGACCAAGAGCTCACTGATGAAAATTACTTCTTATGTGAATATCCTTAAAATAATATCTTGGAGCACAAAATTCAGCAGAGGACTAAGTTTACTTTTAGAATTTGAGCCTGACAATTAATACCAAATAACCTTTTACTAAAAAGTAGTTAGCAGGGAATTTGAAAATACTTATAAAATGTGCTTCTATCTCGCCTTTGTACAGTGCATTTTGAGCAGAACTAATCTAATAATAAAAAACAATCTAACATTCTGAATGGCAATACAATGTCTCAAGTAGGATGTTCCACACCACGTAACTGTTTCATGCACATTATTACATACACTGAATAAAACTACCTTCATTCTGTGCATATGAAACATAAATGGCGTTCATATTTAGACTTGGAGCCCATTCTCCAGATACTTCATGTATAAGCCAATATTCCAAAAGCCAGGAAATTCTGAAATCAAAAGTACTTCTGGCCCCAACTATTTCAGATAAGACATATACAAACTGCTAAAACTAAGAATCTGTTAGGAATAATCTGGAAAAGAAAGACTGCTGCTGTGGCACAGGAGCTTAAGCTTCTCACTGCAGTGTCAGCATCCCATATGAGCACTGATTCATATCCTGGTCGCTCTAACTTCGATCTGCTCCCTGTTAATCACCTGGGAAAAACAGCATAAAGATGGCCCAAGACCCAGGAGAGCCTCTGGGCTCCAGGCTTCAGAGTGGCCCAATTCCAGCTGTTGTAGCCATTTGAGAAGTAAGTCAGTAAACAGAAAATCTTTATGTCTCTCTTTTCAAATTGGCCTTTCAAATAAAAATAAATCTTAAAAAATGCAATACTATTATAGTAATACTGTTATCCCATGAAAAAAGATATTAAAGTGATTTATTTTAAAACTTTATTCATGTCTGATTGGTTTATGTGACTTGAAATACAATGTTAAGAACATTTCATCAATGTCAATAAAAATTTTTAATAAGAAAGCTGGAATTTTATTTTCTAAAAAAATTATAAATACATTTGAGAGTCAAGAGCAAACAAGACACCTAAGCATAGCAAGAAAAGCTCCCATCTGCTGACTCACTCTCCAAGTAAGTGCCACAGCCTATGGGAGTCAGAAAAACAGGAACTCAGCTGAGGGAGGAGGCAGCAGCCCTACTACTTCAACCATCATCTGCTCACAGGTAGCAGGCAACCTCAGGGGTCTGCAAGAGCAGAAAGCTGGAATGAGGAGCTGGTGCAGTGACTCAATCCCAGGCACTCTAACATGAAATGCCGGCATCTTAACTGGCAGGCCAAACACCTGCCCAAATAGCATTAAAGTTTTAATCTATCTGGTCTAAGAAAAATCTAAGGTATGTCTAAAATTCACCATCTAATCAACACACAAATTTTCCTTTATTTATGATCCCTTCAGTACTTGGCTTCCATAATACTTTCTAATCTTCTCGAATTAAAAGAGATGTTCCTGTGAACTTCAGTAGAGCAGTATTAGCCTTGGGATGTCATTTCTCATTGTCCATTTACTTTTGCTGTTACCTGTATGTGTATGTCCCACAGCACACATGTTAGTTTGAGTGCAATTAGGTTTGGCACTACACCTAGCATATTTAAGTACTGAAAAATACACACTTGATTCAAGAAATTTAAAAACCTAATTCAAAATTATGACCACTCTTTAAAAACATAGAAAAACCCTACCTTCTAGTAATTCATCCTTTCCATCTTTGTCAGCAGACTCTTGTACAAGATAATGATGAGTGATTGAGAACTTGAAGTCAGCAAATGAAATTTCATCTGATCTCTCTTCCCATGTGCCTGAAGTAAATATTCCCTGTAATTAATGAAATAGAAAAAAATTCACCTATGTAATAGTTACACTTAAGCTTATTAACCACAGGGTTTTTGGTCGACTTTTTCTGCATATGCATCTGTTTCAGCTCACAGCCATTCTCTATGTAATGAAAGACAAAAAGAATGTATAGATGAACAAAACCAAGTACGTTAGAAAAGATTTATCACAGTAATTATTTTTTTTTTAAAGATTTTATTTTTATTGAAAAGGCAGATATACAGAGAGGAGAGACAGAGAGGAAGATCTTCCGTCCAATGATTCACTCCCCAAGTGAGCACAACGGCCAATGCTATGCCGATCCGAAGCCAGGAGCCTCTTCTAGGTCTCCCACACAGGTGCAGGGTCCCAAACCTTTGGGCCGTCCTCGACTGCTTTCCGGGCCAAAGGCAGGGAGCTGGAAGGGAAGCGGGGCTGCTGGGATAGAACCGGTGACCATATGGGATCCCAGGTGTGCAAGGCGAGGACCTTAACCACTGTGCCATTGCGCTGGGCCCACAGTAATTATTTTTTAAAAATTCTCCTCGAGTCAGGAGCTGGGAGCTGGGGCCAGGCGTCAGACTTTTACAGTTCAGGATGGGACAACAGACTTACAAAACTGTAATCTCCAAATAATTTTCTTGTGAGAGGAGTCTCTTAATAAAATCATGATTGCACAGTTAATTTCATGTTTTCATATAGATTTTTTATTTTGAATTTTTGAATTATGTGGTACAATTTCCTATAGACTGGGATTCCCCCTCTCCCAACTCCTACCCCCCGATAGATTTTCCCCATTTGCTACAATGGTGTGGTCCTTTGTAAGGAATCATAATTCTATGCTTCTTTACATGTAAATGCAAGCTTCTTCCCCAGAGCAGGGCTTTGGTTTAATACTTAGGACATCCATATCCCATCCTGGAGAGTAAAAGCCTGACACCTGGCCCCAGCTCCTGACTCTAGCTTCCTTCCAATGCAGCCCCAGGGAGGCAGCGGTGATAGCTAAAGTTTGAGTTTTTGTCACTCAGAACGGGCTACTGCAGACATTCCAAAAGTGAAACAGCAGATGGCCTGTTTCTCTCTCTCTATATATATATCTACCTTTCAAATTAGGAAAATAAACAAAAAACAAAATACATTACTTTTTAAAATTTTGATGGGCTAGTGCTGCAGCATAACAGGTAAAGTGTCTACCAGCAGCGCCTACATCCCAAATAAGTACCAGTTCCAGTCCCAGCTGCTCCTCTTGTGATAGAGCTCCATGCTAAAGGCCGAGGAAAACAAAGGAGGATGACCCAACTTCTCGAGCCTTTGTACCCATGTGAGAAACCAGGAAGACAGAGGTTCCTGGCTCTTGGCTTCAGAAGGGCCCAGTTTCGGCCACTGTGGTCACTGGAGAGTGAACCATCAGATTGAAGATCTCTCTCTGTAATTCTGCCTTTCAAATAAAAGCAAATCTTTTAAACAAAATTTTATTTGATAGAGAAAGCTTCCATCTGTTGGCACACTCTCAAAATGCTGCTATCTGTTAGGGCTGGGCCCTTCCTGGCTGTAGTCAGGACCCTGGAACTCAACCCAGGTGGGTAGCAAGGATCCAGTTAAGTGAGCCATTACCAGTGCCCCCAAAGGCTGGCAATAATCAGAGGCTAGGAATCAGGGTGCAGAGCTGGGCATTCAACCCAGATTCCCCAACTTGACACACAGGTGTCTTCATTTCTAAGCTAAATGCTTGCCCCTGTACCAGTCACTTTAAATGAAAATGATTAAATCCCATAATTTTTTTTAAGATTTTATTTTTATTGGAAAGGAGGATATACAGAGAGGAGAGACAGAGAGGAAGATCTTCCGTCCAATGATTCACTCCCCAAGTGAGCGCAACGGGCCGATGCTATGCCGATCCGAAGCCAGGAGACTCTTCTGGGTCTCCCGCGCAGGTGCAGGGTCCCAAAGCCCTGGGCCGTCCTCAACTGCTTTCCCGGGCCACAGGCAGGGAGCTGGAAGGGAAGCAGGGCTGCAGGGATAGAACCAGCGCCCATATGGGATCCCGGGCGTGCAAGGCGAGGACTTTAACCACTTGCGCCACCGCGCCGGGCCCAAATTGCATAAATTTTAAGAATTTTTTTTACTAAAAAATCTCAACTCTAGCAACACTATCATATATTACAAAACACAGCATATAATTCAACATTAGAAACTATTTTTATCAAAAAAGCAGTCTATAGAATCAATTTAAAGGACATGTATATTGCATTTATTTGCTTCACAGTTCTGCAAGCTTCACTATCATTGGCATTCAAATCTTTTAATTTGAATGGTAACATACAGATTGAAAAATATACTTTAATTATAAAATCCCTTTGCAATTTTACTTTTAAAAGATAAGCATAAACGTGATTTTGCAGGCCTGACCCAATGGCTGCATTGGCTCCTCCCCGCCTTCAAGTGCCAGGATCCTAATGTGGGTGCTGGATCGTGCCCTAGCTGCTCCACTTCCCATCCTGCTCCCTGCTTGTGGACTGTGAAAGCAGCAGATGATGGCCCAAAGCCTTGGGAACCTGTGCCCACATGAGAGATCTAGAAGAAACTCCTGGCTCCCAACTTTGTATCAGCTCAGTTCTGGCACCTGGGTCACTTGGGGAGTGAACCAGTAGATGGAAGATCTTTGTCTTTTTGTTTCTCTGTAGATCTTCTTTTCCAATAAAAGCACATATTTTTTTTTTAGATTTATTTTTATTATTTTTTCATTGGAAAGGCAGATATACAGAGAGGAGAGACAGAGAGGAAGATCTTCCGTCCGATGATTCACTCCCCAAGTGAGCGCAACGGGCCGATACTATGCCGATCCAAAGCCAGGAGCCTCTTCCAGGTCTCCCACACGGATGCAGGGTCCCAAAGCTTTGGGCTGTCCTCGACTGCTTTCCCAGGCCACAGGCAGGGAGCTGGAAGGGAAGCAGGGCTGCCGGGATTAGAACCGGCGCCCATATGGGATCCCGGGCGTGCAAGGCGAGGACCTTTAACCACTTGCGCCACCGCGCCGGACCCAAGTACATATTTTTTTTTAAAGATTTATTTTATTTTTATTGGAAAGGCGGATATACAGAGAGGAGAGACAAGAGAGGAAGATCTTCCGTCCAATGATTCACTCCCCAGGGAGCTGAGCCAATCCGAAGCCAGGAGCCTCTTCCAGGTATCCCACACAGGTACAGGGTCCCAAGGTCTTGGGCCATCCTCAACTGCTTTCCCGGGCCACAGGGAGGCAGCTGGATGGGAAGTTGAGCTGTCGGGATTAGAACCTGCGCCCATATGGGATCCCGGGCATGCAAGGTGAGAACCTCAACCACTGTGCCATCATGCCGGGCCCAAAAGTACATATTTTTTTTAAAATGATTTTGCCTCTAATTTTCCTGAGCTGGTGCTAAGGGCCGAGAAATAATTCCCATTCTGAAATTTGCAGTAAAGCTGAAATGTTCATTTAACATGTTACATGGGCATTATTATCAACATTATTATTACAAACAGCTATCTCTAGGAAGGTTTGGTTGCATGTAATAAACACAAGACGGCAGGCTGTATATTTAAACAGATAATTTAACCAGAAAACAATATGCTTTTATCCCTCTTTTAATCTGTTATGATAGTCATTTGACAACAAATTCCAGTGTACTGTACATTTACTATTAGAACCAGATATAAAACTCTTGCTCATCAAAATTGAGCTGTGAAAATGAGCTTATTTGCAGATTATTTGATTTTTCACATAGAATAACCAAAGGAATCTACCAACAAACTACTAAAATTGAGTTTACAAAGTTGTGTCATATATAAGAACCGATATTCTTAATACACTAACAACAAACATTTAGAAAGTAAAAATTTTTTAATTCACCACAAAACTCTAAAAGAGCAAGAACTCTACTTGAAAATAAATCAAGACATTGCCAAGAAATGTATAAGATCTAATGGAAATACATCACGTGTATGGACCACTGAAAAGATGGGGACCTGGGGCAGCAGTGAACCTGCTGCTTGGAACACTCTTTTATCCACCCTCTAAGTGTCTCGTTCAGCTCCATGCTCCTCCACTTCTGATCCCACTTCCTGTCAAAACTCATCACTAGAGGCAGCAAATGATGACTCAAGCAACTGCATCCCTGCCAGCTAAACAGAAGAACCAGACTGAAATGCCAGGCTCCTGGAATCGGCCTGAGCCAGCCCTGGTGACTGTCAGCATCTGAGGAATGAGCAAATGGACGGGAGAGCCTTTCAGTCTCTCTCTCCTACTCTGTCCTCTTTCTGCATTTCAGATAAAACAAACATTCATACACAAGTCAATTTCCCAAAATTGACCCAGGAATCCAGCAGAATCCAAATCCCAGCAGTCGTTTGTAGAAATGACAAGCTGATTTTAAAACATGAAAATTCAAATGTCAATACTTAAAGTAATTTTGATAAGTATATTTCCTAATTTAAGAACTATTTTTTGCTGTGATTTAGATAGTGTAATACTGATCCTAAGATCAATGAATCATAAGAAGAGTTCAGAAATAAAGAGAGTTTGAAAAAGTTCATGGAGATGCTTCCTATGGAAACAGTACACATACTTCTGTCAAAATTTTTGCACCAAACCAAACTTCTCTTTAATTTCCAGGAACTTTTCAAAGCACTCTCATACATTCATACTTATACTTGATTTTACAACAGAGATGTCACTAGAACTGAGTGGAAGAAAAAGGCGTTTTCAATATTTGGTCCTAGAATCAGATATTCATACAGAAGAACAGAACAAGCTGGGATCTTGAATTTCTTGAGACAGAGATGACTAAACAACTATGAAATTGAAAACAGAAAAATGATCACCATCAAAATAAAACCTGTACTTATCAAGAGGTATAATTAAGTATATAAATGGAACTGGTGCCCTGGATCAACAGACTAATCCCCCACCTGCAGGCACCATTATCCCCTGTGGGAGCTGGTTCTAGTCCTGGCTGTTCCATTTCCCA